CCCCGGAGTCAAGGAGTCACTGACTCCTTCCACTGGACGGCCAAAAGTCACTTCCGGTGCACGTAACTCCGGGGCTTCGGAGTCAAGCCAGTCAAGCTCCGAAGCACCGAGTCCGGAGACGGTGCACGTAGAGTCAAAGGAGCTAAAATGACGTCATTTCCTGACTGGTAACGATTTCCGGCGCTAAAAGAGTTACGCCTCGCAAGTGGGCTCATTTTCGTCTTCTGCGCATGAGAAAAGAAGTAGCGGTGACGTCAGAACGCCGAGCCCTGATTGGCTGATCGCGACCCCCTATCTTAGCGTCGTCTGCTCCTTTGCAACGTCGTCTGCTCGCAACATCGTCTGCGTCTGTCTTACCTTTCGTGCGACTTTCGGAAGTGCAGAGCGAGCTCGACTTCGCCTTTCAGAGAGGGCAGACGAAATAACTCGAGAGGTACGTTGTTTTTGTCTAACAACTAGCAGACGCGCATCAAGGAGGGAAGTCAAAGGACTCACTGGCGAGGTGTCCCGAGGCGCCGAGGTTTGTTTGCCTAAGAACCGAGAGTGGAGGGTGGCTAGTGTCCGCAAGTTCCCTCCCAAATACTTTTTCCCTCCTTTCGTGTGCGGCGAGACCCCTCATTCTTTAACGGCGTCGGCGGGTTGGCGCAGTTAACGTCGTCTGCTTTACGTCTGCTAGTCAAAGCGATGGCTGCTTTACCTTTCCTGCGTCTGTCGGAGATTCACCGCTTTTTCACCGGCGAGAGTCACCGTTGCCTCGGGAAACAAGGAGATAACAAGAGGAAGAAATTGACTTCTTAATCTAAAACTGAGGTCAGCGATCAAACTATATACGGGAAGGGTTCACAAGGGTCGCGCGGGCATATTCCATTCAGCACGCCAGCCGGTCGTGGGCAGACGGTCTTCGCCAAGGACCGTCAGATCATCGCTGCGCCGAGTCGGAGTGCCTGCTAGGCCTATCTGCCGATCGGTCGGAGTCCGCGGTACTCGTGGCCCTTGGAGTTTTTCCCGGGTGTCTGTGGATCCAGCGTTCTTGTTAGTTCGTCGTGGTCTGTTTCAAGTACTTTTTACTTGTTTCTTGCTGCTTGAAGTCGGGACGCGTGAGAAGCGCACGTAGAAAAATAAACATCCGTTGGTTGTCGCGACCAACTGAGCGACGCTGTCGGCCATGCCAGCCATGCTGATTTGATCGTAAGAAGTGCGTAAGACAGCTTCGGAGCTGTCGTAGGATTTCGTCGTAACCTGCGCAAAACTTACGAAAATTTCGTTTCGTGAATACGGATTTGTTCGTAAGTTTTGTCTTACGCACATTTTTGGCGTAAGATCGTTTCGTGAATCTGCAGAGGCCGGATTCTCAAAGCGAACTTACGACGAAAAAAATGCGTACGACAAATTTGAGAGAAAATCCGTATTCTCGAAACGAAATTGTCGTAACTTTTGCGCAGGTTACGACAAAATCCTACGACAGGTCCGAAGCTGTCTTAAGGTACGTTTATACTCCGACGTCGACGAACCTAACGTCCAACGACGTAAACGAAGTTCAACGTCCACTTCGCCACGCCACGCTGTGCTGCGAAAAGAATTGCCAACCGTGTTTATACTCCGGCGTCGTTCAATGCGCTCGAACGAATTGCTTCACATTGCGCATGCGCGTCACCATGGCGACCGGATGGTTTGGTCTCGCTGGTTCCGGATTGCCGCTTCCGCCGCTTCCGTTCTCAACTTGCAGCGCTGTCCGGCTGCCCTGCGGCGGTGATGATCTAAGCAGTTAAATGTGTCAAAAGCTGGGACTCGCGGCAGTAGATATCTTCGCGCTGTGGTACTCTCGAAAACAAGGAAATAACGAAGGTAACTCGCATAGAAAGGCATTTATTTCCTGACGAAAATCATACGTGGTTAGCGAAAAAAAAAAAAAAATATCAGCCGGGTGTTGTTTTGACCAACTTCAACGAAAAAGCAGCAGATGGTGGTTCGCAGCGACCATGCAGCTTCTAACATATGTCCTGTGCACAAACCTCATGAACTAGCCTTTAGCGTCAAAAACTCACGGATATGACACCGAAATGGGAAGCCGATGTCCGTCGAAGAGCTTCAAGCGCGTCCCGGTGTCGTTAGGCCTACACATTTTCACGGCTCCGAGACAGGTCCACGTCGACGCGCCGGCTCACTCCATCGAGCGAACGGAATAAACAGAGCGCCAACACAAGCACATCCAACTGACCAGCGGCTACCCTACACGACACAAGCCCGAAAGGCAAGCAGACGAACAGACAACACAGCCCGACCGATGCCCGACTGGGGCAACGACGGGACCATGGCAAACGCGGGACGGGAGCTGGCGTGAAGGCTTCTGGGTAACGACCGTCGCCAGGCGACGCCGAGATTCGAGCAGGGCCTACCTCGGCGAAAGCTTCGCCGACGGTCGCCGAGGCGCGCTACGCTGCGTTACGTTCGACTGTCGTCGGAGTATAGACGCTCCTTTCGCACCAACGTAACGCAACGAGGTCGGGCGCGCGCGCCCGTCGGCGTTACGTTGGAGTATAAACGCACCTTTACGCACTTTCTACGCCCAAATTAACATGGCCGACAACGTCGCTCAGTTGCTCGGTCGCGACGACCCAACGGACATTTATTTTTCTACCTGCTCTTCTTGCGCGTCTCGACTTCAAGCAGCAAGAAAAAAATGAAGAAGTACTTGAAACCGACCACGACGAACATGAACGCTGGATCCACAGACCCCGGAAAAGGCAACAAAGGCGACGATCCCACCGACCAAGCGAGCTCGGCAGAATATATAGGCCTAGCAGGCACTCCGACCCGTTCCGGCGCAGCATTGCTCAGACAGTCCTTGGCCAAGACCGTCTGCCCACGACCGGCTGGCTTGCTGAATGGAATATGCTCGCGCGACCCTTGTGGACCCTCCCCGTATGAATATATTGATAGCTGAGCTAAATTTCAGAGGTCAACCGATTCCCCTTATCATCTCGATCACCTTGTTTTTGAGGCAGCGGTGACGAACGCTGTCGTCGAAAAGGGACTCCTCGATTCTATCTCCTTGTTTTGTGTGATGTAGAGCTCAAATAAACGCCGTATGGATTACCTTCGCAACACGGTATGTACACTTTGTTATTAGTATGCCATTTTTAACTGTCGAGCTGTATCAGTTTGTGGGAGCTACGTGATGCCGGTCCAACCTTTCTTTGCCGAGTGTCACGTCAGTATCGAGTTGCAATCGTAGAAGATCGGTCCCGAAGCGCTTACCGAAACGCAGTCTGAATCCAGCACTTCGATCAAACGCACGCGTCCGCTCCGAGTGTGAACAAGTATTTGCGTGACTCTTGCTGATCGCTCTCGTAGTTCAAACGTTTTTTTTTTTTTAACGTCGGCTCACTCCTGCATTTCCGAGGCCGTGAGAAACGCCGCGGCGGTTTGTTTCCATCTACGTCGCTTTGCAAACGACTGACACGGGGCTTTTACCGACGATGGCAGTTGTGTTGACTTCGTAGCGATCGAGTTTGTAGCAGTCAACGAAGCGTTTAAATCGTGTTGGACACGAACCCCAGACAAGCGCTGGTGGAAAGGTCATCCGTGTTTATGAGAATCAGCGTGAACACTAAATATTTACACACAGACAGGACAGAACATACACAGAGCTGTCTATCAACGAGTGGTTAGCCTGTGTTTGTTATTAAAAATCCACGTGCTCCGAACTACGCCTAGCTCTCTAATTGGTTGTTCGTTTTGCCGAAGACGCCGTTGCCATAGCAACAGCACCGGAAGTCATCGTTTCTCCGTAAGAGGTCGTAACTTTCCTCCTCTCACTTAAGAACGCGTTTGTGAATACCGTTCTCGCCTCATCTTACGATGATCGTAACTTTACGAACTTCGTAGACGACGTTGCAAAGGAGCAGACGACGCTCAGATAGGGGGGGGTCGCGATCAGCCAATCAGGGCTCGGCATTCTGACGTCACCGCTACCCCCTGCGCAAGAAGCAGACGAACTTGCCCTCCGCATATGGCGGGATAAGCCGCTTCGGTTCTGTCGCGGGTGCGCGGTTTGCTCGCTTTTGTTAATGAAATTTTGTACTCAAGGTAAGACGAATAACGCGTTCAAATATCTTTTTCAAGTAAGGCTCTTTTGGAAAATGCATTGGACCGTATTTTGTTTGGTTTGAATACGCTAATAAACAACGGAAACGTTCATTTGACGCTGTGTCTTGATCACCGTTGCACGGAAACTCGGTAATAATGACGATAGTCCTGTCTGCGCTCAACAGAGCAAAACTGGGTATGAACGCGACTTTGGAAGCCGGTTGGACACTCACGCAGAGCACGATAATCGGGGTGCGCGTTGGCTGAGGCTCGCTTCGGCCGACCAAACCTTGATCGCCGAGCGCGGCCGAACTTCCCGTGTGTATACGTATATATATACATTTTATAGGAAGTTCGTTACGAAGGGCAGGACAAACATATGGCCGTATAAAAGTATCGCAACCGGCGGGGTAGATTCGCTGAGCTCTGTATTTTGCGTGTGCTGACGACGTTTTTTGTCGGCTTTTATAACAGCAGCTGCCTTTGCACCGCCAAGCGAAGGGCTCGATCGCGTTGCATCGCTTCGAACAGCAGCGTTGATGTGTACAATCACCCGCTTTTTCTTCAACGACCTTGTAAAGACTTCTTCAATACCGGCGTCAAATAAAAGCGATCGTGCTCGCCATCGTCTGCTTCCAGTTTATTCGGAGACCGCCTGGCACAGGGGAGGAAACGGAAATTGCGTAGAAGCAGGTTTGGAGGCACGGGTTTTTTTGCCGTTCAGTAGGCGCTCCGATGACTCCACTGATCTCAGTGGATGACTCCAACGACTCCAACTCGAGGCACTCCGTTCGGAGGCAAGGGAGGCGCTACTGAACGCGCCCAAAGCATCGCGAAACATACGAGATAGGCATAGGCTCCGCCTTTGGACTAAATTGATACCCGTTTAGACAACCTTGAGCTCGACCACCGGAAAGTCGTCATATCAACATCCGGTTCATTAACGCGAAGTCGCGAAGTCTTCGTTTGCGTCACTGTGTGGTTCCCTGTATGTTTCGTACGAACGACGTTGGATTAATTTCAGCCACTGAAAACGGTAGGTCAACATTGTCTCCGCGTTGTGTTTTGCTTTTTGGAAATGCTGTACCCACAGCATCGATTTCCTCCGTCTGCTCGGCCCGTGTGGTGACCTGCTTTGGGCAGCCGTCGGCTAACCCTAACCTCTTTCGCGGCATCGGACAGTTTGCTTCTCCAGCGATTTTCTTGCTAATCCGGCTCTGTTGTGTGTTCTCTGACAATAACATCTTATTTCGTTTATTTGTTTTTCAGACTTTAGGAGTTAAATCATGGCTCCCGGGGGCCCAGCCGAGAAAAAAGGCAACGTCCTTCCGCTGTGGGGCAATGAAAAGACGATGAACCTCAACAACCTGATTCTGACAAACATTCTCTCGTCGCCTTATTTCAAAGTAAATCTGTACAAGTTGAAGACATATCACGAGGTCGTGGACGAGATCTACTACAACGTAAGTGTTCCCTCCAGCACGCGGACGCTTCATCTTACAGGACTGCTGGAAGTGTAACTAGCACAATTTTTTTAGCTCCTTTGCTTTCTGCTGTAGCATTTAGTGCGTTGTACTGGTTTAAGGTGTATTAACGAATGGAATAATCTTTAGGTCGTAACCTTTAGGTGTTATTACGCGCAGTTTGACTCACTGCTACTCAAACCAAGAGCTGTGTGCGTACATACGTCAACGTTACTAGAACAGCTCAGTTGGGGAGCTGCCATAGAGCCTGCTCTGAAAAATTAGCACCGATCCGTACACCAGAACCGAGCTAACGGCGATCGCAACGCCGCTCTTTCTTCCGCAATGGTCACTGAGGGACTGCACGGCTGTATCGGTTAGGGAGCATCACATTCAATAACATATGCTGTTACGGTTCTATTTTGGGTTTAATCGGCTATTTTAACGCCTAAACATATACAGTGGATAGGGTTTCAGGGATGCCAACCCTTGTTTCCCAAGCGGACGCGCCGCGAATTACCACCCAAGTTAGGATGCGCCCAGGTCAGGATGCACTGCCTGAAATTACCGGTGAGACATGGTATTATAAAAACGATATTAATTGTGCTGCAAAACCTTGTAAACTAAATATTTTAGAAAACATATAATGCCTGCCTTTTTGTACTATAGTCAGCTACAGGTTAAAAAGGTAGCGGCAAATGCCCCTCAAAGAGAATCAGATATCCCTCCGCCACCTTTGCATCCAATAGCGTCCCACCGTTTCCGTGACGTCGCGGACAACGCGCGAAGAGCGTCTTGCTTTTCTGTACATATTTGCTTTATCTTTCAACTTTGACTTAGCATTGTGGAAGCCACGAGAGGGAGATTAGAGTTCTCCCCCACCGACGGAAACAAATACGACTTTTGGGGCTTAGCTTCCCCCCCGATGAATACAAAGGCTGCTTTCAGGGGCTCGGTTCCCTCTCCGATGAATAACAAAGGTCGCTTTCTTAAAAAGTGGGATCGGAGACAAGTGAGAATCCATTGAAGCGGAACAAGGAGCGTCTCCAGCGAACTCTTCTTTCGACTGCGGAGAGATTTGTAACGGGCGCATCACACTTGTGGGAGGAGCTTCTCCTACCTTCTTGACTTGTAACCGACTATAATCTCCAATAAGAGTTCTTACAAAAAGAGTTTTTTTCCCGTTTGTTTTTACGCGAAACCATGGCTTCTAAAAGCTTATGGTGACCACAGTAAAAAAAAAAAAAAAAAAAAAAAAAAAAGATTGAGTTGCCTTTTTTGCACCTTGAGCCTGGGAGTTTTGGTATTCTGGAAACATTCAGTGACTCGCTAAAGGGTGGCACTGTTATCGTATTTAGCTCAGTCTCAATGTGGACACCAGCGACCCAGGTTTCAAGGGTGAGTTTTCCAACTGAGTGTTTTAGTAACGTTGGCGTACGTCTTACCAGAGTAGCCTTGCCCTACTTTCACCGGGCAAGCCGGTTGCATTTGGAATCTGTTATATGTTATGTTCATAAACTTAAAAACTGCATCTCCTTCACTTATGCTTCCTAAACTACGATTACATATTTGCCTGGTCAAGGTTACATATTACCTAGAACAAGGACATTTTATAAGGCAGATTTCGGTTCCTCGATGTGTGTATATTTTTTGGTGATGGTACCCAGTGCCACTAGTGCATGCAAGAGCAAATGTGAAACTCTGGCCTAAAATGGCATCAAAGCACTGGCCAGAGCTACATGCTTGAGCTTTTAGGTGCTCAAGTGCACACAGTTTTCAAAAGCTTAAAAAGGCAGGGTGGCCGCAAATTGGCCAAGATGATGGCGCTTTTTGAAAGTATATGTGTCTGACATGCTGTACATCTGACATGCGTGTAAAATGGCCATCTCAGTGCAGAGGGTCATGCCTATGAAACTTTGTTATCACAGACCAAATCAAGTCAGCCAAACCCTTGTGTAGTCTCCTTTTATTGTTTTTAAACTGCTGACGATTGCTGACCCTAGGCCGACGTAGCCATGAAGACAATTGTGGACACCCCACTTTAAGCGGTGTATCGCGAGAAACGAAATCGCTTTCCTGCCACCATTGCCATGATCAAAGCCGCAATTCGCAGCAGGTGTTGTGTATAGCTAACTGCACTCTGGCGGGTTCAGAAACTAGCAGATTACAAGTGTAGTTTGCTTTAATAAACATTTAGTTTGTATTAAATGTCATACATAATAAACAAACAGAAGAAAAATAATGGCCGAGCATCACGCCGAGAGGCTTTGGTGAAGCCACCATCGACATCGACGAACAGGAATCACTCAGTTAGATTCAGTGTTCCCAAGAGACCAGCTTCTGACAGATGGCCGTGCATTATTCTTGTTGCTAGTGTTTTACATAAATAACTTACAAATTTGCCATTGAACAGAGGTACAACATCTAAATTTCGCAATATGCATGCGTTCGAGGCATACTTCAAAGCGACCTGGTGTAGCATTCCATTTGTTTTTTTTGTGTACTGGGACTTTTACCTAAATTAGAAATTGATGAGTTAAATAGTAAAATAGGATGCACTGAATAGGCCGCGTGTATGCAGTCAACACTTAACGCACGTTTTGATTTTATTATCGCAGGGTGTCTACCGACCGGGAAAACCGGGAATTGTCAGGGAATTTTAAGACACCTGGAAAAGTCAGGGAATTGTCAGGGAAATTTCCAAAAAGATTGCCGAGTCAGGGAATTTATCTCATACTCGCCCGCTTACGCTAGAAGCGGCAGGCACGGGCAGGCATAGCCACGAGCGCAGTCAAGTGCGGCGTCGCGACCGCCTAGGGGCGATGCGACCCGCCCAATTTTACACGCGCTATGCTTCACACGAGAGCATGTGCGAAACTGGCGACTTGTCGTTGTTTTAGTACACTCTAAAGCCACTAAATAAGCTACACTTTAGGGTAGCAACGCTAAAGTATGGCGGCTAAAGAGTTACAGTTACTAGTGAAGCAGAGCAGCAGCGGCAATTTTGTTTAGTTTGTGACTCTTGTCAGGTGGTGTTGCTCTAGTACGAGGAGAGACAGTTGCTCTAGCCGATACTAGGTGGCGCGAGTCACCACTCACTCGAAAAAGAACAGCCGTCGTTTATTCATCTACCCTCCGAGAGGTGCGCGCCTAGTGATCCGTTCGTTTGTCAGATATGGTGCTTTCGCGCTTCCCCGTAAACGCAACCTGGACGCCTGTACCCTACAAGCTCTGCCACGTGCGTTTGTGGCTGTGGGTTCCGCTTTCTAGTGTGTTATTTTCCGAAAGTGGAGGTATGTGAAAGTGACTATGTCGCTGTCGAGAAAGTGCTCCTTCAATCTCAACTGGACAAACCCAGACATATGCACGAATCCAAGTTGGATTCGGCCCATTCCAAATGATCCAAATAGTGCTCACTGCGCAATGTGCTGCAAGAAGTTCTAGCTGAGCAACATGGGGAATAGGGCAATTGCTACTCATCTTAAGGGTAAGATACATCAAACTGCTATGAAATATCTGCAAAGCTTTTCCCAGAGCCCAGTCGTATTTTTCAAAACTGCGACAAATGCGGACTTGCCTTCTGCGACAGCAACGGGTGTTTTTTGTCCGGTGGTAACAATAGTGCTTGTAGGGCTCCGGCAATGCGTCTAACCACCTCCACAGAAGCTCTTAGCCCCTCTGTGAAGACGTGGGTGGTGGCTTTTTATTGAAGAAGGAAGTCACAAAGGGCCGGGGATCATGTGGTACTTGAACACTATGACAACTCATGGGTCTTTCCGTTCAGCGGCAGCGTCTGCCTCGCTGTTTTTGTTGATGTTCTCCATGTGTGAGACCGCCAGAAAAATTCAGCTTGGAAAAGACAAAGTGGTATATACAATATGTCGTGGTATCGCCCCTACTTTCAAGACAAGTTACTAGCAAGCCTCTCTAACGTGCCATACCTGGTGGTTGCTTTTGATGAGTCACTGAACAAAGTAACTCGGAGAACAAATTGATGTTCTGATCAGGTGCTGGGACCAAACTCCCTGAAACAGTAAACCCAGGTCAATGCTGTATTCTAAACATCTTCTAAAGTTTGCTTTATCTAACTTAAAGAAATTATTTTACGTTGTGAATAGTGCATATCTATTATATATTGTGTTTTGGTGTCGGTAGTTGTGGGTCAGGGAATTCAATTAAAATAGTCAGGAAAAACCCGGAAAAGTCAGGGAATTTAAAAAGAACAATTTGGTAGACACCCTGTATTGGGAACGGTTATCGGTTGTACCAAATGATTGTACTTGCTTTACGCATGAGGTAATCATTCATTCCAATTGACTCTAGTTTTGAAACATCGTTGAGCTGCACGCTCGGTTTATGGACACTTTGTGCAAGCGTGTCCTGCCATTGCCACTACGAAAGTTCTTAAGAATAGGCACTTCCCAAACGCCATCCTCGCGCAAGCTCGCCCAGTCGAGCTGGTCAAGCACATGGACGTTAGGGTTAGAACTGGCACAATGAAAATAGGGTCCTCGTTGGGCTGGGAAGGGACTGCAGGTGTCAAAAATCCTCTCCCCGATCGCGGCGGGTGACTTTGATAACGAGGCAGCGGCGACGACAATGGCTTGAGAGAATAACTCTTTTACATTCATTGACAAAGGCCTGCGGACAACACATTTGCAACCTTTCTTGGGACATCTACTGTTGGAAAGCCCTCTTGCCCCCATGATGGGCACAACGAGTTCTTTCTTGCACCTGGAAATGGGACACACAACCACATTCTGCCTGTGCGGAGGGGCCAGCGGGGTGACGCACACACCTAGCTTGAGCTTCACCACCAGCTGCCCCCGTCTCCTCAAAAAGGGGGTTTTCCGGTAACACTGAAGGCCACAGAAAAATAAACAAACATTAAAAGAAAATGAACGCATGGAGCTGAGCTGCAAGAACACCGTACGATTCCATATGCATGCCAAGCGCATTGAAGCACACGGCCATTGTTACTCACAGCAATGGCGGATAGCAGGTCTGGACTGAACCTTGGCGTCATAATGAATTCTTCCTATATGTGCATATGTATTCTAACTAGTTCAAAATATATATATATATTATTGGAATTATATCTTAATCTGCAACTCACAATTGCCAGAAGAATCCTCATAGCGCATTTTTTCTGAGGAAAAAATATTGACACCTGGACTTGTTGCGTATTAAATATTATGTAAGCATTCTCAAATGGGAAGTTTAAACGTTTTGGAAGTATGATCTAGAAGCTCAAGTAAGAAGAGGAAAGCATTTACTTTCCAGTTCTACATATAGTGCTTGCCATTGTGACATTAATCTGGGCGTGCTTAGAAGCTACTTCAAAATGCACATATGGATGATGTTAACGGCACAGTGTATTGTGCAATTCATCGTTTTCCAGGTGCAACACCTAGAGCCCTGGGAAAAGGGAAGCAGGAAGACATCTGGCCAGACTGGAATGTGTGGAGGGGTAGGTTACCTTCGTGTCTTTGGTTAAATAGCAAACCTAGATTTGCACCTTGCTCAATTGGACCGTTTCTTTCAGAATGCAGCTTTTCGTTTCAACCTTCAAGAGGCAGTGCAATGATTTTCGGACTGTGGCCAATAAATTGCGGGAATCGGCCTATGTCACCTATAGAATGAACAACAGAAAACCATTTTTTCTTGCAAATGTATTTTTATAAAAGAGAAAATTAAACAAATTTAAGGTTGGGTGCACCTAAACTCTCACCGCCTTTCAAGTGAGGTGCGCAGTGACGTCAGTGGGAGTACCACATTCGGTTTATTTTCAGTGCTCCAAGTCTTCCCTCCACGACTAGACTTGAGGTCCAATTCGGCTATCGTTGGGCACCGCACACACTTAGCATCTTTAAAGGTCGCGGCAAGCGGTCGATATAAAAGATTGTTTGCCACAGGCAAGATGGGGAGAATAGTGGTGGTGCAGAAATGGTATTGTCGGCTGTTAACAGATGGTGCCACAAACACTTGCAGGCTCTGAATGACTTCACCCCCGTGGTTCCGATGACCGCCACACGCAGCTGCAGGTCGAGGGAAAATGAGATTTTTACTTTGCGAATACAACGAGCGAAATCAGAGTATTTCAGGGAAAGGTGGTGCATTTTCTTGCACTTGTGACAGGTTCAACGATATTAAAAATACAAGCTGAAAATTCTTTTTTTTAATGTTAAAATCATTGCTATTTAACAGATTTGGCAGCATTTAGTTGGAACTTGCTAAATCTTACCTGGAGCAGTATCGTGGCTCCCTCTTTCGTATGACGGCTCCCTACGTTTGTAATGAATTGTGGTGCAATGACTTCGTTGGCCCCAGTTTTCACAGTGGTGCCGACGTGTCGTTTGCAGGTCCGTGGTGTCGGTGCGGGGGGCATAGTGTCGACCGCGTTCTGCATTCTCTACAAGCTGTTCACCCTCAAGCTGACCCGCAAGCAGCTCAACGGCCTCATGAACCACTGCGACTCACCCTACATCCGAGCGCTCGGCTTCATGTACATCAGGTACGACCGGCTCGGGGCTCATCTTGTATCTCGCGGCAGATTCGACCGATACCTTTTATCCTGCGGGCAACCTGGTGATCCACAGCGTTCAACCAGGTTGCCTGCTGGTTAAAGAGCTTCTGGTCATTTTCACTGCAAGGTGTCGAAGTGCAATAATTGACCATTCAAGCGGCGCTTTGAACCCCGATAAAAGATGGGCGCCGGGTACGTGCCAGGGGCTTTTTTGGTTGCGGCATGTGACGATAACAGTCGAGAAATGACTGCGTGATCTTGAACTAGTCCGTCGTGTCATTCCCTAAGGTGGGTGGCAGCGGGGGAGATCCAACGGTCTGCACTTTTCGACTGCAACTTGTGGGACTTGAGCTCTAACCGGGAGCGTCTTCCCAGTCTTGTAGGAAGATGTGAGGCCCTAATTGCATGGTCATTTGTGTCTCCGGTGATGTCTCGTTTAGAGTTGCCCCCCTAAATCGTCCATTATGTGGGTTGTCCATGATGGCATGACAGAAATGTGTGTATTTACCCAGATTGTCGCTGAGAATATTGTCTGCATGGCAGAGTATCCATATTAGTGGGCCCCATATTCAGAGACACGACAGCACACTGCGCGACACTGTTAGCATAAATGCGACCTCAACGCTTTTTCAAATTTTGCTTTAAAGCCCGGGGCACTGGTGGGCATCAAGATTTATCACTTATATTAGCATCCCACTTTCCACCACTATCGTAGGTTTGATGACAGTCCTTCATTACCGAGATATATGAACAGAAAAAAACAGCAATGGCTTGTTCGCACCAACAGTGTCTTAAAGTGTTTGTCAACAGAAAATAAAAAAAGGAGCTATAAGAGATTAACATAATTGAGTTGGATAAAGCTGGACATAATATAACATGTTAATTCTAATACATATTAATTCTGGTTTGGTGTAACAACTCAATGAAATTGAATGACATTAACTACTTCAAAAATCCTTAAAAGAATGAGGGAAAAATATAGTACTCTTTTTCCTTAGATGCTTCTGCAGGCAAGGCTGCAGGCAGCATGCCTTGATTTTCTTGCACGGACATTCATCTTGTGCAGGCCACTCAACATACTTCAGATATATATTTCTTCTGAAGACAACCATTAGAAGTTGCTGCAGACATTTTAAAAACTTGATATATTTTTCTGTATGAAGATTCTGAACCTGTCATTTTTATTTTGCATGGCATATTATATTTCATAGGGCACGTCTCCTTTTAAGGATTTTTTCTCTCTTTGTCTTAATGCTGTCTGTCAATTGTTGGAACTTCTTTCTAGACATTCACTAAAAAGATTACCGTAAAATCCCGTTAGGGCACCCACCCAGAATGAAGAGATAATTGGTAAAAACAAAAAATTAGCAAAACTTCATACCAAATGTTAATGATGAACACAAGGGCCCCCGCTACAAACCACTGGGAACTGGTACCACAAATCTCCGACACGGCGAATGCGTGTTTCACGATGCGATAAGCATGCCCCTTGAACTCCTGTGTAACGGAAAAGGATAGTGCAGATTGCGGACGCAGGAGGTTCGCGTTTCACGGTGTGATAAACACCCATAAACCTGCTATAAATTTGCGTGCCATGGGAACCAACATCGTGCAAGCAGGTTGCAGGCAAAAACACGGGACCCCTATACAAACTCGCACATCACGGGAACCTCTGTTGCGGTCGCAGATCGCTGGCAAAATGCGGGAACCCACTGCAAACTCTTGTCACGCGTACCAGTACCGCAGATCGCGCAATTCCCGTCAGACATATTGTGATGTCCGAAGGGGAGTCAAAATGGGCGATGTTTCTGTATTTTTACATTACAGTTATTTAGCCAGAAAAACTGAATGTGCGATTTCTTGGGGAGAGCGTTCATATGGGATTTTACTTAGGTTTTTTTTTTTATTGCTCTGCACATGTGAGCTCACAGGTACCTTTTCCAGGCGTCAGATTCCTTGGTGCAAATGATTGTTCCAGATCTCGTTCTGCTTCTAGAACGATACCTGCATCATGCAGCCATCCAGTATCTTCTTAACCCAAAACTGTTTTTGTTGAACCGATGACATAAGACTAGCTTACCCTATCTGGTTACAAGTTAAGAACCCAGTAAATGCTTTGCCTCGAGCGTTCTGCCAACGAGCGGGTACTGGAGGCAGAGCTACTAGGTTTTTAACCTGTGTCCAACTATACGGCCAGTGATGAATGAGTAAACCGGTCTTTTTACCCTGGTCTTGGTGTGTGTATTCTCATTTTTCAGATTCACACAACCTCCAGCAGACCTAGTGGACTGGTATGAACCGTACCTTGACGACGAAGAGGTGTGTAAAAAGAAGAGAGTAGGACCATAGTTTCTTTTTGTCCGTTTGATTAGCGAGCGAGTGTGGGGGCCTTAGAAGTGTTCGGACAATTGCGCTCAAGAGCGTGCCATGTTGTGCCAGCCAGCACCTCAACAAAACACCCTTGCTACTACTGCCTGGGATAGGAGATCACGAGCAAACTGCTTGCCAAGAGGGGGTGTACGGTGAGCCGCCTTCGTGTTACCCCGGAGCAATGCGTGAGTCGCGAAATCCTAGCTCCCAACCCCGAGACATGTCTGACCCTGCCGGCAGGTGGATTACCGCAGATCTTTGTTGGCTGTGGAGTACAACTACTGCAAGTTTAACGATGGCCAGATTTCATTTCGTAGTGTAACTTTATCTCGAAATTGTGAGCTGCATTATGTTTAGGTTACTAGGAATGCCAGCTGCCTAACTTTCAAGCTTTGCGGTCATTCCGCTTCTCGCGATTTTGTTTGTGACAAGGTCGAACACCTCAAACTTGTGTACTATGCAATCTTCGCATCTTACTTTGGTTTGTTTTTTTTTTCTGTGCAAGTTAGTCTACTTGTATGACCGAGTGATGCGTTTGACCCAGTTACAAGTTGGATTGACGACATCCTCCTCTTGTTGATGGGGTGCTGCACTTTTGGAAGTAAGAATGACACACTCTTTCTCGACTTCTGCACATTTTTGGAACTTCTCTGTCAGTTGCCTACTGGCTGGGGAAGCTTGCTGTTGTCATGGGGCTGGATATAACATTGTAAGAAGAAACATATTAGTGGATGCTACTTAATTGCATGCTTTCATTGACTCAGTTTTGGAAATTAGCCACTTTTACTCGAGTCACTGATTATTGATGTTTGCAACATTATTTTGATATTTGCACTGCTGTCTTTTTTTCTGGCTTGCAGAGTGAATGGTCAAACAATAACGAAACATTGAGCATGCTTGAATCTGATCGGAGCACTCTACTATGCTCGTAAGTGCACAAGGCGCCCATGGTGGGAATGGTCATGTGATGAGGCAATTTGCCTATAAAATGCAATTGCCTTTAAAAAAAAAGAGACACAATTACTTTTTGTGATACATTAGAGGAATACTGAACCAAAATTTGGATTGCGCAAAATAAGGCCGCAGAAGCGTTGACCAGGACGCTACGAACTCCAAAACTTCACTCATACATCAATATCTCAAACGAATGGCCATATTTCTGGGGGGGGGAAAAAAAGGGCGTGATCAAGCGAGGACTTTGACATCACAATCTTCTGGAACAGTTGAGAATGAGGGGAAGCGACCTCGCTTCTCTCCTCCTCGCTTCGGTTTATCAGCTCAAGGGGACGAAGCGAGGAGGAGAGGGAATGAGAATCGTGACGTCACGTCACGTCACATCTCGTCGGCTTTGTTGGCAGTGTTCAATTGCGCACTTCTTTTCCAAAAATACGACAATTTGTTAAATATATCGCTGTATGAGTGGTGTTAGTGGGTTCTGCAGTGTCCCGCCTATCGCTTCAGCCCTGTTTTGTGAGCTCCGAATTTCGGTTTAGTATCCCTAAGTTCTTATGAATTTTGACACAAGTAAAAAAAATAATGAGGGTCATGCAAGTGTGTGTGGAGCGCACTTACATGGGCACAATACAAATGTGCTGGTTCCTGATCTATAAAATGCATCTGTGCATTTTATAGACCCTCTTGAATAACAAAAAAATGGATGTTTGACATCTGCTGAAACCAAACATCGAATTTTCTCTTTTCTTTCTGTATATGTTTGTGACTCTTCCATTCTTTTCGTTAATTCGAACTCCAAAAAGCCACAAAGTTTGTTTCAATTATCAGAAATTCATCTAAACATGATGCAAGGTAAAGTTATAGTTTGTTATTTGGATAGCCACACTTTCAGATATTTTATGATTTTCTCTATACAGGCCTACTAATCATAAGCAGGTATGCCACACATTAAATATAGGTGAAATGTATAAAATATGTTTATTAATTCCGCAAAAATGTTGTCTATCATAACTGTTGAGACAGTACATGACACCTCGAAATAAAATTAATTTGTTCATCCAGCAAAAAATAGTCTATTGCAGACTATGAGCACCGTTGAGCATGCTTCTTATTGAGCTCTGCAGGTGTTGCTTCTCCGTGAGAACAAGAACTGAATTACACAAAAACGCCATTAGAATTAACCGGCTTATAAATACATCGAAAACATAGCGGGACAACCAAAATTTTAAAATTTGCTGGAATTACCTAGAACTAATCTTATAAATGTTGGAACTGGCATGCTCAAGTTTGGTATCCTGAGCAGGCTGTGAATAGTTGTGGTCACTTTACATATGACAGGCCAACAAGAGAGGGACCTATATTTAGCCCTAGCTAGATGATATATTTAAGGAAGGGCAGGGGTGGATGAATGGAAGCTTCAAATCATTGACAGAATGTGTGGTAATGCTGTAGCATTTTGGTTGTTATTTAGTACAAAAGTGGAATATTAAGACAATTAAGGATGACACGGCAACAAAATTTCCATGCTTCATTCTTTTCGAAAGTGGTACCATCTGTAGCCCTCTGTTCATCTGCGACAGCCAAATTGAGTGAGTGTAACCAGTTGTGGCAGAGATATTGCTTTGGATGAACCTGTGGCCCCTGAACATTGCATGTTGGGTCATATTTTAAAATTGTCATTGTTGATAAAGGAATTGTTACCTTGGAAGTTCTTTTAGCATGCAACATCTTTTTTATTCTTATGGCATCTTGACTTTAGCCACTGAGTTATCTGATACCCCAGAACATAGCCATTTTGAAAGATTTTTGAAGCTAATGAAAAAAGCCTGCTTTGCGAGCTCAGAATTTGAGCATTTCAAGAGCAGTTGGAGTCAGGAAGGGTTATAGTATGTAGCATGCAGTCCATAAGGTGGCATTGTTAACGGAAGTGTGGGAGGCGTGTACTGCCTGTGGCGCCTGTGGTGGTTGGTTGCTACTCTTGCTGACGTACCGTGCCTCCTTTTTCAGAGGTTGCTCTTCCAGGCTGGCTGCGTCAATGTGCCCGCACGTGCCTTGAGCTCGAATTCGGGCAAGTACACCTAGTGGAGCGGGCGGCCACACGGGCGGGGGTCGGCATTGCGCTTGGGAGGAGCGGCTTTCGGTCCGGTTCTGGGCAGGGGTGGGGAACCTCGTCTCAGGGTAGTCAGGGGTGTTCTTGTTGGAGGTTACGAGCTGCACGTTTGGGACGTTGCTTTCACTGGGGAAGAGACCGCATTTCCCCGGGCCATGTACTTCCTTCTCCCCCTTTCATGACTGGTTTGTTTGTTTGGTGGGTTGGGAAATTAGTGCCAGCCTTATTCTAGCCACTGGAAGCACGAATTGCCAACTTCTGTGGGACTGGTAGATTTGGGGGAATGAGAGGTAAAAGCTGTTATTTTTTTGGTACCTGTTCAGTAAATTTGTACGAAAAACAGGACAGATTTCTCTATGATCCCCTTGTTGGGAAATGGCAATATATAATCAGGAAAAGCTACTCGATGTTCAAATCATTGTTACTGTGTTGTCACCGTGTAGAACCTCGTTGCTGTGTTTTAGGAACTGTCGTAAAAGGAAACATGATCCAGGAAGACATAACGGCCGACGACGCTCCGAGGAAGGGTCATTGATATTACACGCAATGCTCGGTCAACAATTTATTTTACCTGGACTTTCATGGTTGTGGAGTACTCGAACAGGTGAAGAAAGGGCTGTTACAGCAGTCCCAGCTCGGAGAGATAGCAAAAGGTATGTTCAGCGTCTGCTTGGCTATGAGCGTATGCTTGTTCATCAAGCCACGGTCTTGTCTGTATGGGGGAGCACTCTTTTGCCTTTGGTTTCTCCCCCATTGTCCTCTTCGCTTTCAACATCTTCAGCAGTTGTGAGCTTGGTGACAATCTTTGGTTCATTCACAGTACGTGAATGGGGCTTCTGTTTTTGCCATTTCATCCTCTATCTCTTGCATACCTTTGGAGTCTCTCTTGGCATTGTTCTTCGTTGAAGGTGTTGACAGTTGACGGCATGAACTCAGTCCCCTTACAACATTCTTTCCTTTTCGAGATTTATTGTCTGTATCGTGCCAAACTTTTTCAAAGTGGAAGCCTCCCTTTTCTGCGACACCATAACCGTCAGTGGTCACAAACTTTAATCTCCACCGAAAATGTAACTAGTGGAGTCGGGGGAACCCCGAGCAGAACAGATGCAAGAAGCGAAAGTGCCAGAGAAGAAGAGCAGAGTTTTGGCCAGTTTCAAAGGCCTAAATTTGTTCAAAGTGGTCCATAGTTGAAAGGTCATGATCATCTCAAGCTGGAAGCTCGGTGCAGAGCCAGAGGCATGAAAGAGGGGAGCTGAGGAAAAGGATGAGGGCATGGGAAGTCTGATGGCACACGCATCGTGTCGTGTCATTTTCTTCTGTACTATCTCATAAGCTAGTGCCAGGATGCCAGGAAGGCTTGGCCCTTATGCGACATGATCTCTTCTTTTCTTATTCTATTAGCGTAATATCCACTAGACACTCATCGTACTTAGCTTGCTTGTTTCTCTACCTTTTACTCTTCGTTGCTCTTAGCTGTGTGGTCTCTATTTTGTACCAGGTGACAGAGTGAGAGACATTAAGAAACTGGACCTACCATCCTTGGCAGGGTTTGGTTTCGGTGAGATTAATGTTAAGGAATAGAGTTGGCTACCATGTTGACATTGCCGAAGGCCCATGAGTGTTCCCCTTTCTATTCAGGGACAAACAATTGAAGTGTGAAACTTCATTCGTAGAACTTCTCAAAAATATGAATGCCTTGAAAGGGGGAGAAGGGAAAAGAGTCTCGTCGTTTATTTTCATTTCATCCTCCGAAAACGTTTCTCATTGCATGCCAAAGCTGCCCGCAAGTTGAAGGCAGGCAGGAAAAGGAATTTTGACACTTTCGTAAGAAGGTACCTCCATTGGAACAAAACTGGAATAAATAAAAACCGACGAAACGGGCCTGATTTTAACCCAGTCTCGAATGTTACTGCACAAGCCAGTACGCCCTATTTATTTCAGTAATTTGCACAGATTAAAAAATTTGAGATTCATTATTATTCATTTTCTTTTATATTAAAACGCCTAACAAGTCATCGAGGCTTACACGTGGGCACCCACTTTGACTTTCGAGTGGTTGTAAAAATTCACGGCCTTGCGCTTTGCCTCGCGGTTGCAAGAGGAAACCCATCTTGCACTTGTGGGCAGCTTTGGTCTCTTCTTCGTGTTACCATTCGCACTGTGGTTGGCGACGTGTCTCACCACACCCTCTTTTTTCCCCCTCCTCTGCCCCCTCCTCCTCTCCCCACTCCCGCAGGAGCTGGACGTGAAGGCCGGCGGCGGGCAGACACTGCGCATGGGCGACATGCTGCGCCACTTCCTGACCAAGCTGGAGTGGTTTGCCACCCTGTTTCCCCGCATCCCGGTGCCCATCCAAAAGGAGATTGAGCGCCGCCTTGCCCTGCACCCGCCCATGGCGCCCGCGGGGGCGCAGGTGGCGCCGGAGGGCGACGAGGGAGAGCCGGAGGCGCCCGCCGAAGAGCTTGCTGGCCCAGAAGCCAGGCGCAGGAGGTGACGCCCTCGGCCGTAGCGTGGTGCCCGCAACGCACCTTCAACCGGCGTGTTTGGCGTTCTGCCCATGCGTCGAAAGTGGTCCCATAGCGGCAATGAATGGTGTCGCAAGAAACTAAGCGTCGCAACCCGGGTAGTTGGGCACGATAGTTCTGAAAAAAGTGTGAGGGAACGTGAGTGTCGCTGTCGTCGTGGCAATCCAGCTCCTGATCATTGAAGTTTCTTCAGACTGTCGAGCTGGAAAGCGACCTGCCGCGGAACAGGCGTCTGCAACCTCCAGCACCCATGGTGTGACGTTGCCAGGATTGCAGCCGGCAACAACGTAACACATCTGCCCGGCTGAAATCGAGGGACCACTTTTTATGACGCGGTACACGCGCCGGTCGGAGACCCGCCCTAGGCACCGTAATTGTGGCACATCAACCATCTTGCTCAGTGCCACTGTTACGCTCTCCCAAAAGGAGCGGAGTAGCGCATACCCGAGCGCCCCCTTTTGCGCTGTTTGCAGCGGTGCCATTCCGCGAGTCTGCTCACCACACTCAGTCGCCGTTTGGCAACAGGTCCCTCATACTTTGTCTCACTAAAACCGTGCAGTACAGCCAAGATACTTCAAAAAAGCGTGCATGTTCTAACAGCTTTGTGTAAAGACAAGGAATTATAATTACGCATAAAATGAAGTAGGTATTGGATTTGATCAGAACGGGAAAGAAACCGAGCAAAGAATCCGGAAAACGTTCGTTTGAGGGAGAGGTCTATAGACAGCAGCAGATCACTACTACGCGTAAACAAATTACCATTCTCTCATGAAGCCTTCCAGTTCGACGACGGGCTGCTTGTCCCGAGTATAGCCCTGTGCTTGTAGATTTCTCGATCTACGATATATTAGTTTATATGTAAATGACCTTGAATGTCCTTCCTTCAGGAGCCCTTATGCTCGGGAGTTCAACGGGGGACGGGACGGTCCTGGAGACGCCATCAGGGACAGAGAAAGGCCTCGAGAACGCCGGAGCCGGAGCCGCGACCGTTACCGCGACAGCAGACACAGGTAGGCCTTCTAAATGTATCTTTAGGCAGTCATGCGAGCATCTGCCTCAAAAATGGTTTGAAATGTTCTAGAAACTGGGGCTGCACTACTGTAGCTTAATGTGCCTAATTTCCTTCGAGACCTTAATTCTTTTTGTTTCATTCTCTCAGAAGCAGAAGTCGGGAGGCTCGTCCACACCGCAGTGGCGGCGAGAGGCCGCGGGATTCCGACCGTCCGAGAGATGCAGACCGTACGAGGGACCCCGAACGGCTGAGAGATGCCGATCGCCTGCGGGACGCCGATCGGCTTAGAGACACCGATCGTGCGAGGGACGCCGAGCGTTCCAGGGAGTCTGATCGTTCGAGGGACCACGAGCGTTCCAGGGACACGGAGCGTTCTAGGGAGTCAGAACGAGCGAGGGATTCCGATCGGTCAAGGGAATCGGATCGCCACCGCCACAGGGGCAGTCCCGAACGCAGGCACGTGGAACGACCTCGCGATCGATCTCGCGAGCGACTTCGCGAGCCGTCCCGCGACCAGAGGTCTTTGTCCCGAAGAGAACGCTCTCGTTCACCGATAAAACGGGATCACCATCGGTGATCTCGCCAGTTTGGGCAACGACCCGGGGAGTTGGGGACAATTCATACTTGGCTTGAACTCGAGGTTTCATTTATGCAGGCTCGTGGAGCTGTGGAGTGGTTGTTGCCCCTGTTAGTATGCTGTAAAACTGGCAACTGTTGGGAGTATGGTGAATATGGGTAAGAAGTGTTTCGCTTGTGTCGCTGCAAAATTATACAAATAAATGTCTTTAGATCATGGGGATTGATCTATTATGCTCCCTATTTGAAACCCTCAAATTGGTGGCCTAGGCTTTTGTCATCTTTTTCGTTAGGTGGCTACTTGAAATATCTGTTGTTACCAACTGTAATAACACTCCTGCTGTACGGCAAAATTTAATGTCATTTCCGTTGAAACACTTGAAGTGTTCGGCGAATCTGCTCGCGATCTTGATTGCGAGCGTTGCGCGTGCACCAGGTGGCGCCAGGAGTGGTGCGTGCTGATTGGTCGTTCAGATAATGTCATTAGATGGAAATTGCGTTGAATTTCGTGGTGGGACAGCTGCGCAAGGATGTTGAGGGGGAGCTTGCGAGTGTCCTTTCCCAGGTAACAAAACACAGCCTTTATTTGCGTTTTGACTGCACAGTCGTGCTTGAGGTTCTCGCATTGCTGAAAGCTGTCGAAGTGCAATGAAGACCAGAGGCCTCGTGCTGGGGGCAGGGCCCTCCAGTGCTCCTTCCTGAGGATTGTGTCCTGTCGGTTACTAGGATAACAGTCTTCTGAAAGTTGTTTCTAGTTGCTTTGGTGCTGCAAGTGCAAGAGCCATATTACCAGATCATATCATAAAGAGGATTTTCAGAGTATCTTTTCGTCTGTGCTGTGGTAAGCCTGAGTGTAGCAAAAAAGTATGTTTGGTTTTGTTCTTGTGTTCTCTTTGTGCTGCAGCTGCCTTTTTTTTTTCTTTTTTTTTTTTGTACAATGACATTTTACATTGATGTTTTGTCTTACAACTCTGAACTGCAACAACTTTTCGTACCATCGTGGCATAGGTTCAGTTAATTGCACGGGGGTTGACAAAGGAGCTCGGATAACCACTGTTGGGGTATGGTTTTTCCCAATGTGATTCATGCAGGTTTTGTGTGCCATGCATCTTGCTGCATATTTGGTAGATTATGTGCCTACAATCTGAAATACGGCGTTTGTATTGTGGCATTTAACTGCACTCTCTTCTAAACTTGCATGGAGGCAGATGCTAGTAGATTTGGGAGATGTGTAGGTTTTTTTGTTTTTTTTTATCTAATTCAGTTGGGAAGAGAGGCATGCAAAGCATGGTGATGACAAAGGATTAATCAGGCAGAAGTTATTCTTATATTTCATCAGTCAGCTTTTCTCTGCAGTAGGAGCAAGCCATGGTCGAGCTTGAGTGAAAGTTTTTAATTTGTTGCCCATGTCCCGTGAAGCACGTGTTTGTATATATTAGCTTTCATTCACGTTCCCCTGTACAGACATTTGCCAGTAATAGCACAAAAAAAGTCGCCGTGTTTTTTTTTTTTTTTTAATACAGCAACACAGTGACAGTTCTGACATCACCTTCGCTACAGTTAAATTCATCAGTTTTTCTTCAGCATTTTCATGTTGCACCTTGAAAAATAAATCTATTCTGTGATTGTATGCTCTCGTTTCTGTCGATTTTCTCTGTGTTTACAGGTGTTCTGGTAATTTGAAAAACTGCCCAAAAAATCTCTAGTTCACGGATGTCGACTCATTCAATGCATTTGATTTTGCTGGTTTGTAGGCATACATGTTTTATCCATACTGCCACCAAACATTGCTCCTTCAATGAGACATTGAAATGGAAGCATTCGTGGTCTTGTGACAGGTAATCGCTGAGTAAGCTTAATGGTACTGTTAATTGTCTGATAGTCTGGGACCTAAAAGCTTATTTGTTTGCATAATAAAAAACAAAAAAATTGGACAAGCCTCTCCATGGGAACGGGCTAATTATATATTGTCCAGTAACCTTTTGTTTGGTGATATGTAGTTTCTATCAGTGTCTCGTTTGCCGTGTTGGCTAGACTTGTGACTGGCTATTGGCGGTCATTATCTATGCAGATATTCGTGGGTTATGCCAAAGTTCAACAATACTTAAACAAAAGAAAAAAAAAAAAACGATCTGGTGGTGATTCATGGTAGTAAAAACCCGAGACTCTGGAAAACGGAAGGGGACGAACACAAACACGACACAACGTTGTGTTGTGTTCTTCCTTTTCTGTGTTCCTGGGTCTCTGGCTTTTATTACCATGCCAAACTTGTCCGGCGAACGCAGTGCCTAATCTCTCGACCATCAACCTGGCTAGAATAGCGAAGGTCTTGGTATATCTGGGAATTTTGGTGACCCGACAAGGCGGCGATGTGCGTTTTGCAGACAAAGATATCGCGCCAAAAGACCTTCGAAGTCGTCTTGTTTCAATAAACTATTTTTTTACGTTATTTGCTCATCCTCCAACCCATTCAGTCTGCGTGTGACGGAAACTTGTTTGTAACCGCAAGTTGGTTGCCTTCGAAATCGTTCGGTCGAGGCCATTCCGACTTCTGCTATTTCGCGCGCGCGTGCGCGTGTGTGTTCTTTTTCTGAAGTCACTTTTTTTGCCATTTGAAATCTTGATCTCCACTTTTCATGGACCACATCATCTGATACGCACGCATGTACCTTTTCGCGCGAAATCTCCTAGTTTGTGAGCTATGAACAAATATACACAAATAATAACGACGAAGACGTACCGACAGGTTTCGGTTTTGTTTTGGAGCCCTGCCGTCATGACTTAACTAAGTAGATAGATAAATACGGCTAAACTATTTGAATTTAGTGACGACTTGCGCCGCCTATCAACTGTTCTAAATTTTGACAACTAAATTTAAATTTTAACTTAAAAATACAATTATAAATGTTTTCTATCAAAAAAAAAAGAAAACATTTGTTTGTTTTCTCCATATGTTTTACTCGAGTAACTAGACCAACGCTGGACACGAGTAGAATAGGTAGGTTTTCGAACACCAAGGTGCAAAACATGTACTCGAGTGAGATCGAGAAAATGTTGGAACACATCCGGGCCTGACGTAGATCCGTGGCCTTTGGCGATTGTGGATTGTGGTGATTGCGGCGATTGGCGGTGCTTGACTTCCTTCCCTTTCTGCTTTCGTGCTTAGCTCGCCGGCCTTCAGCTTTTTCTTCGTAGTACTTATCGTAAGATCCGTGTTTGTGTGGTCGCTTGTGCATTGTGCCTTCGCGTCGCTTAACCTCTCGGTCGCGAACCCCGAGTACCTGGAATTTCGTCCGCAAAGGTGAGGTGGTTGTTTACCGACTCGACCCTCAGCATACGTGAATGCATGCGCAACAGTCACCGAAACCTCGCGTTTTACTCTCAGCATGTTTACTCCGCACAGCGCTGCTATGAAAAGGATCAAAACGCGTTCTTAACAACAGTTCAGCGTCGCGGCAAAATTAGTATAAAATCAAGATTGTTCGTACAACCTGCGTGACCCCGTCGGTCACAGTATGGTTGGTATTAGAGTCACTCTAGTTGGTATGGTGCTGTTTGCCCACATTGTACTGGGGGGCTTCCCATGGATTCCTGAGCGGGCTATCTTGTGTTTGCTTGTCCCTGCGGATTTCTGTTCACTAGGTGTTTGGGACGACTTTCAGAGGGCTCGCGAAATAGAACGTGTTACATTTCTGTATGGGGTAAAGAACTAGGGACTGCGACGAATCGTCGATTGCTAATTAAAGTCACCGCGGTTAAAATTAAAGAACGCCTGGCACGTATTTCGGCATTCGCGCGCGCTACGTTCACTGGCCTCAATCGGAGAAATTGGTGTCTCGTAGCCAAGGAGGTTATAACCTTGCTCGTAGCACACACGAGATGATCTTTACGAGTAGCGCTGAGCGCGGCAAAAATGAAAAGGGGCGTGGACGTATTTTTTTCTTTTTTTAAAATTTTTGTTTCCTTTCTTTATTATTTCGATTCACGATTTGCCCTGTGCAGATGCCCAATGCAGTTTCTGTGATATATTTTAGTCACGTAGCTAATTCAGAAAAGGCAGGACAACGTTCTTAACAAACAGTTTCGAACCCCCAAGAGCCCTTACAAATAAACTTTTTTTTTTCTCCCATTTTTACTCAGGATACGAAATTAAGAACTATCTACTCAATAAAAATTTATAAAATGAGCACTAAACGAAAATTTGGAAAAGCTATGCATTTAATTACATCCATTTTGCTAGGTGCATTGCAACATTGTTTGACAAAAATGTCTAATCCAAGTTGGTGATATTTATTTATTAAGGTTATCACAAGATACATATGATACTTTTGCAAGAAATAGATCCCCCACAAAAACGCAAGCATTAATAAACTTGGCTTTCAGTTTGACTGTTTGCTTTTTCAACAGACACCTAACTCTTGTAAATAATAATTGGATGGTGTCTTGACACCCTACCCCAATACTTTGCACTCATAATTGAATAATTTTAAGGTGTCATAGGCTTTTTATTTTAAACCTGTATGATAAGCTGATGCATTCACCACAGGTGTCCCCATCAGTCTCGTTAAATCTTGACTGCAGCGAGCCGGGCTCAGCATTACAGCTTGTGGGCCACCGATCTATGGCAGCTCTTGCTGTGAGTGGCAGCTATGAACATATATGCTTCAACTAGTGAACAATAAATAGACACACAGATTGCTTAGAGATTGCGTAGTTCATCTCTTAGGTTGTGACTGAGTAATGCCAGCTTTTTATTAGAAAGGTGCTGGAAAACGTGTTCAGAATTTCTAAAGATAAAAAAAAATAAGGTAATAAATGGCCTGGTCCTTGTGACAGTTCTCCTTCTCGTTTTGTGGGCTTTCTTTTTTTTTTATTTTGCACGCTTGAAATCAATGTATGGCAAAAACAGTGTGTGGAGCTTTTGCACGGAAAGCTCGACAGTGCCACATCTACGTGCATTCAGAATACGGGAGAACAGCTGTTTCATAGCAGGGTACACAACTCGCTCTCACCACCTGTTCACTTCCTGTGTCTCCTGTACCTTGCGCCGCGTTCATGTGAAAGTGCGTGCAGCCTTGTGTGATACTGCTCCCATATCCCGGGGAAAGCAGCTTCTTGTCGGGAGACCGCTTCATCAGGAGCTCATCTCCAATTGCTTGAATGCCGACGAGGTGGTCTGCGTAGGTCTGCCTGATCATATTTCTTTTTTTCTACTCCATCCTTTGTCTGTTTCCAGAAGGCAAGCCTTACATGCTTAGTTTCTGTTACGGTTAAAGGGCCTTTGACAGGGAATTTTTTGTGTCTGCCCCCCTTTTCCTACCGTCAATGCAATGACGACAGAGAATGGTGAACATCTGAGAACTGTGGAGTTCTGTGTACTCCACAGTTATTTTGGATTTACATGAGAAACTTTAGAATTCAAGGTCACATAGCAAAATAAACACGAGATGCTTTTGTGAGTGCCAGGTCAGCAATGGTCCTGAAGAGAGGCCACTTCAGCCTCCTTCCTAGCATCCGAGGATTCACAAAGGGGCCAGCACCTGTTCAGGCCACCTGGTCAATGTTGATGGAGTTTGGGGTCACAACTAAAACCAATCATGCTTGTGATTGCACTAGCCACTACTCAGGTACACCATACTGACTGGAGTGTACACCATACTGGCTGGAGTGTACACCATACTGGCTGTTCTTATTACAAGGAGGAGGAGTTTGCAATATTTTTATATTGGAAATTTTTAGTAAATATTGCTCAGTTAAAATTGCTTTCTGTCTCTTTTGATGTGTTTCTGTATGTATATTGTTTCTTTTTGTTCATATTTATGGAGAATTACAAATATAACAATATTGTACTTAAGTAAACAATGAACTTAGCTACTATAATGAACTTTATTTTCGCGGGCTCAATATTTCGCGAATTCAACGAAGTGTGATATTTAGAAATATTTCGCGGCCACAAAATTTTGCGAATCAGGGTGGTATGCTATATATTTGTTACCATAGGAAAACATATTTGCGGGACCTACCTTTTGCGATATTATACAAGTCACGAAGTTTACAAAGAGTAGGAAACAAAAGCACAAATCTAGCTTCATCGGTTCAAGGCAGCAATCATAATTTTATTTCTTGTAACAGGCACAAACCACCTGCAATGTTATAGACCTTAGGGTTTCTATCTTCTTTCACTGCAGAGCGAGGGAGAGTCATTGCTGCTTGAAGAAGGGAATAGTTTGACAAACATTTGCCACAGAACACCTACCATATAAATGTATATTGCATCTGACGTTCACAGTTTAATGAACATTTTAGCAGCTCTCTGATGATACGAAAGGCACAGTTGCTTAACAGATGGCCACTCCTTGAAGTTACTCGGTTTCTCTAGCTTTCGTTAAAAATAGTCAACTTGGATAGTGACTCCTTTGAGACCTTGCAATGCTATTGTTAATAGTTGTGCCCTTCCTTGGCTGTTGCGAATGGAAGAAAAATCTTACGCTGAAACTGGAGATACTTCAATCTTTCTTGAAGTAAACATTTCCAAACATGTCTTGAAGTTCTTTCTGACTGAGGTAAAACATTACAGACTGCATTATTTTTGCAGCCTTTTGAATAATTCAGTACACGAAAGCAATAACAAAGGAGGGTGGCTTTGATGTGGTCGAATCGCGTGACAAAGGTGCAAGAAATCGCTTAGGGAGATTACGTCGAGTGCATGTTTTCATTGTCCGCAGTTCCTCCTCTTGAAGGACTATCTCGGGTAGAGAGTGCCTTTTGGCCATTTCAAGATATGGTGCAAGGGCTCTGGTGTTTTTGAGTCTGTGGCTCAGGTGTGAGGCTGTCATTGCAATGTTCCTTTAAGAAGCCAGCCAGGTTAGTTTATTAAGAATATACTCGTTTTTTTGCCTGATACAAGTGACTTTATTCTCTTAAAAAGCCCCTGAAAAGAAAAAAAAAAGTTTTTTTAGACAGTCTGGTTGAAACACGCATGTCAGCAAATTATTTTACACGAAAAATTTTTTTTTTTTTTTTTTAGCAATATTGACGGCGCGAGACACGATTTAGTTGGTAGTCACCTCCTTTCCTCCTGTTCTCTCTCGGCATTTCGGGCACTTGGAGGAGAGGTGGATTGGATTGGTCATCATGTTGAGGTGGGGGGAACGTATAACCATCTCGTTGAGGTGGAAAGAGTGTATGACCATTCCATGACATCATGAACTTTGCACGGAAAATTTAAAATAAATCTCGCGCCGTCAATATTATTCTAAAATTATTTTTTCTAGAAAACTTCATTCTTTGACATGCGTGTCCTAACCAGACTGTTTAAAAAAAACATTTTTTTATTTTCAGGGGCTTTTTAAGCCCATGAAATATTTTCGCGAGTTTGTTAAAGAATATTCTTAAAAGGTTGTTCTTTTACAATGTGAAAAGCACCAAGCATTCACAGTAAGGACATTTGGAATTTAAATTAAAATTATTTTCTCACAGAATGAAAAGGTTAAACAGGAGCTCAATGAAGAGGTGTGTGGAGTCCATTGAAAATAACCCTTTAGACCTGATGTGTTATGGGACCCTCTCAGCCCTTCAAACCCCCCTTCAGACCCTTCAACCCTTTAGATGCCAAAATGACTGTGAACCATAGACGTGCCACTTTTTTTTTTTTTTAAAGGGTGATTTCAGATAAGGTCGAACAGGGGGTGGCTGGTCGACCTTTTTAATTTGCTTCATAATTTTATATGTTATTTCCCGATGTCCAAAATAAACAAAATCAGAATTATTTTCACCCAGAAAAAAAATTGTCGCACGCAAAAAATCGTACATCACGTAGAGGTGGAATGTCGCATTTGCTTGCATAGTCGGAGGGGGCAACTTTGGTGATTAATAACTAAAGTTATACTTTTTAGGTGAGTTTCATAATATTTTAGCACAATATATATGTACTTATAAATACGAAAAAAAATATTGTTATTGTTTGGTATGTTTTGAAAAATAAATAAAAAGCATCAATTTCGGCTCCTTGACCGTTTTTGCCCCAACTTTGCAGGCCTGTATCTTAGGAAATAATTTAGTCAGAAACTTCATATTTTAAGTAAATACACTACTTATAAATGGAAGTAAATTCACTAAAATTCAAATTTATTTAAGCGCGGGTTGAGGAAATTTTGGCAAGCAAACACGAGACAAGCACCAAAATAGAAATATTTTAAGGGCGATTAAAAAAGAAATCCCGTTCTCGATTTTTTTAAAACTCTGACCAGTCATTCTACTCTATTTGGAGGTTAATATCCATTAAAAACATGTTGCATTATATTGATGGTGTAATAGATACAGCACCTCTACCGAGCCCCTTCCGCGAAGATCGGCACGGTGTACCCCTGTGGTGCAACGCAGTTATTGCGACTTCTTACTGTGAGAGAAAAGTATTTTTTTATTCATTCGAGTATAGCAAGTAATAGTGTGTCACATCTTTTGGCACGTTATAATAAATTGAGCATTAAATATAATAAATTACACATCATATACAACACAGTTCTGCCTTTATAGGTTTCAAAATGGACAGATTTTGACGCAAACATTTTCTGACAGTGTGCACTTAGAGTTTCTTCCAAGGGGACCCGACAGTCCGTGCCACTTTTAAGTCACAGGTCGAAACTTCTGATGTTTTGCATAGCCACACATGCCACGACTGAATACCAGGAAAGGCGCGCTCTCCCACCCACCCTTCATTTTTGCACTCACGGAATTCAACAACGTCGTCTTCGTCCAAAATTGTGAACTTCATTCCTTTTAGTTTTTGGGAAAGACTGTTCACCATGCATTTTGCAGACTGTATGGCCTTTCCTGGGAGCTGTCTCAAGTTGTGAAGCGTTGCTTGGTGTTTGACAAGCCCTCCAACTCCGTCACAACCGTTTTGTTCCGTGACCAGTGGCCATTGGGCCTTTGGAAAAACATTTTTTTGGAATTCATGAAGTTGGAAGCGATTCTGGATGTGACTGGCGGCACCGTCACTTACATAAGTCAAATGAGAGTACACAGCAAGGTTGTCATCGACCCACTCTCTCACTTTTTGTACAGCCAGACAGGCATGAGCGGAGTCATGATGCAAGTCGTCACTGATGACGGCAAAAGTGTATGCCGACTTTCTAGTCGTCACCACACACGTAAATATTGAGACCTGTTTTTTGTTTTCAGTGGTACGCTTGAATCTCGTCAAGAAGGATAACAGTCCAGTTTTCAGCAAAGTCAAAGTGGAAGACAATGCTACCACGCTGCACGTACTGCTTTTCTTCATAGATGACTTTGCCTTGCGTCTGTCTGATATGGTTGTGAATGGTCCACCTTGAGACCGACACACGAAGCTCTTCCATAAAAGTGACCGGATCTAAAGTCTTTTTCACGAGCTCACCTGACTCCAATGCTGCCAAAACTATCTCTTCATCCTCGGAAATGTTGAGTTTTTCGAGTGTAAGAGACTGGCCTTTGGGACAATGGTCACATTCACAGGCACTGGCGCGATGGCGGGTAGCAAATGAATGCCGAGTTCAATTCCGCTGCGTCAAGTTGTGAGCCAGCAGCGTTTTGTAGAGAGGCGACACAGAGGTTATAGTTTGCGCAGTACACACAAACGCTCGCTTCTTGCTGGGGATTGCATTTAACCGATCGGGATCGCAGAGAGTAAAACTTTGTCAATCCGATGCCGTAGTGGGGATGGTCACTCTTATACTCACGAAACGCTTCTCTGATTGACCGTGTCATAAGAAGTTTCGGCCTGAGCGTTTTCTGGCCATCGAGCACAACGGAAATGACGTCCTTCTGATTGGGACTCTGCCTAAAACACTAACTCGTCTTTCATGTAGTACTCAACCGCTGCAGATATGTTTTCAGGGCTCACCTTACACCTTGTATAGGGATCGGGTACATACCACACGTCGTGGTCCTCCCTCAGCTTCCGGGACCTATTAATGATGTAGATCGATGCCTCTGGGATGATCTTCTGGACTTCATTTCTTGCCAAGGTTGATGCCAAGAGGGTCAGCAATTGACAGCGTTCCCGGGGAGAGGCTGTGGTCGCAAAGGCGCGGCGAATGTTGTCCGCCCACTCGGTGCATGTGGAGCACTTTTGCTCCGACGACCCCGATGCCACGTTTTCATATATATATATATATATATATAAGTGAAAGATGCGTACTGTCGGAGTTACTAATTCGAAGTTTATTACGACGTATATATATATATATATATATATATATATATATTTTTTTTTTTTTTTTTTTCTCTCTCTCTTTTTACAAAATAACAAGTTGCAATCATTGCGTCGCAACACAGGGACACCCCGTGCCGAGCTTCGGATAAGGGGCTCGGTAGAGGAGCTGTATCCATTGCACCATCAGTATGATGCAACATGTTTTTAATGGATATTAACCGCTAAATAGAGTTGAATGACTGGGTAGAATTAAAAAAGAAATAAAGAACGTTTTTTTTTAAGTCGCACTTAAAATATTTTTATTTTGGTGCTTGTCTCGTGTTTGCTTGCCAAAATCTCCCCAACCCACGCGTATACAGATTTGAATTTCAGTTAATTTACTTCCATTTATAAGTAGCGTATTGAATTAAAATATGACTCTTCTGACTAAAGTATTTTCTAAGATACAGGCCTGCAAAGTTGGGGGAAAACAGTCAAACAGCCGAAATTGATATTTTTTATATATTTTTTAAACATAATAAACAATAACAATATTTCTTTCGTACTGCTAAGTACACATAGATTGTGCCCAAAAATTGTGAAACTCAGCTAAGAAGTATAATTTCCGTTATTAATCACCAAATTTTACCCCTCCGGCTACGCAAGCAAATGCGACTTTCCACATCTACGTAATGTGCGACATTTTGCGTCGGACGATTTTTTTTTTCGGGGTGAAAATGATCTTGATTTTTTTTTATTTCGGACATTGTTAAATAACATATACAATTATGAAGCAAATTAAGAAGGTCGAACAGCCACCCTCTTTTCGATCGTATCTGAAATAACCCTGTATCTGTTTTGTAATTTATTCTGTATAATGCGCAATTTATTATAACGTGCAAAAGATGTGGAAGAACTATTACTTGCTATACTCGAATAACAAAAAAAAAATATTTTTCTTTCAAAGTAAGAAGTCGCAAGAACTGCGTCGCCCCACGGGGGCGCACACCGTGCCGAGCTTCGCAGAAGGGTCTCGGTAGAGGTGCTGTATCTATTACACCATCAATATAATGCAACATGTTTTTTAATCTATAGTAACCCCTAAATAGAGTAGAATGACTGGTCAGAGTTTGAAAAAAATCGAGAACGGGATTGTTTTTAAAATTGCCCTTAAAATATTTTTATTTTGGTGCTTGTCTCGGATTTGCTTGCCGAAATCTTCCCAACCCCCGCTTAAATAAATTTGAATTTCAGTGCATGTATTTACATTTATAAGTAGTGTATTTACTTAAAATATGACGTTTCTGACTAAATTATTTCCTAAGATACAGGCCTGCAAAGTTGGGGGAAAAACGGTCAAGGAACCGAAATTGATGCTTTTTATTTATTTTTTAACACATACTAAAGAATAACAATATTTTTTTTTCGTATTGCTAAGTACATATAGATTGTACTAAAAGATTATTAAACTCACCTAAGAAGTATAACTTTAGTTATTAATCACCAAAGTTGCCCCCTCCGGCCATGCAAGCAAATGCGACTTTCCACCTCTACGTGATGTACGATTTTTTGCGTCCGACAATTTTTTTTCTGGGTGAAAATAATTCTGATTTTGTTTATTTTGGACATTAGGAAACAACATATAAAATTATGGAGCAAATTAAAAAGGTCGACCAGCCACCCCCTGTTCGATCTTATCTGAAATCACCCTAAAGTAACCTAAAAACGCCAAATTTTTTTTGAATTGGGGAATTTTATTCTTTTAGTATTGCAGAAAAAATTTCTATTTATTACGCAAAAATTAGCGGCAGCAAAAAGAAAAAGGCACCAACTAAAGCGAGTGCTGTCATCTATGATCAGCGCCGCTAACTACTCGGACAAGCCTAACTTGAACGTGGAATTGAGGGCTACCGAAAAAACCACTGGACGAGCTGAGCTCACCCATGGCATTTTTAACTAGAAAGCGGCCGACGAGCTCAGCTCGTCCAAGGCACTTAAAGGGTTAATATGTTATTGAAAGTTCATTCCAAACATTGAATTTTACATGCATTCTGTAACTATAAAAGATGAACGATAAGAACCAATGTGTACTGTAACCTGGGTGCAAGCAGCTGTACACAAAAGCGTTCAGGCCAAATAAAGATAACCGTATTATTTGTCACGAAAAATATTTTTCCAGGTACTCACAATGCCACTGGGTAAATTGCTGAGATGTACGATAGTTTCACAAATCCGACTATGTGTTCCACACGCACAGATCTGCACTATCAATAGCACGCTTGGCGAAAACCACGAACGGAAAAACAGCGTCCGCCGCCATTGAGAAATCCTGAGCACGGACGCGGTGTCGTCGTTGGTGCCATCGGGGTGGTGTCCCCGACGTCTTTCTCACTCGCTGGACGAGCTTCTGAAGCCGGACGGACGAAGAGGTGCAAGAAACAGGACACCAAGAGACCTTCTTTGCCCTCACGCTGAGCTGTTCTAGAAGATAGGTCCCACGCATGGAACGGAAAGTCGACACTGAGTGTCCGCTCATTGCGGTCAACAGATACAAAATGGCCAAAAGACTTCCCCGGTGCATACTTCCTGAAGGGTCATGAGATCTCCCCCCAGACCTGTTAAAAAAATGTTGATGGGTGCTGTGCTTCCACGGAAAAGGTTGGCACAGATCTTACAGGCCTCTAAAAAAACTGACGGGTCACTTACACCCGTTGGAAATTCTTGAAGGGTACGTCAGACCCTTTAGAAAACTTCGACAGACATCTGAAACCCCTCAAAAGTTTTTAAAAGGTATTTCAACGCATTTCAGAAATCCTGGTGGGCCCCATGTTTTTTTAATAGGGGACAATCATAGGAGTTATTCTAGGTCAGGATAATTATTAAAATTGAAACATTGATTTGTGTTATGCTTACCAATATGTGTGTTTCTAAAAAAAGAGTATCTTGTTTCCATAATTAATTATATCTTCAAACATTGTTTTTAAGGAAAAGATAGTTGAAGCATGCCTGACTTAAATTGAATTTAGGTATTCATACATACATACTACATTTCTTAGGGCCGAGTGTTGACACCAGCCGATTAACCTATGTAGCTCATTATCAGCCTGAAAAAAAAAAATGCTCATGGTCAAGTCATGCGACTATGTGGTCTTGGATGTATGCTCTGTTCACGTTTCATATGTTTTCAGGATCATCCCCCCCACCCCTGAGCCAAAAAACGGATGTTTTGTTCATGCCGCTATGTTCTTTTTCCTACGTATTGTAAACAAAAAGGTGTGAAGTGCATTGATTACGTGGGCAAGCGAGCATGGTGCACGGAACAGCATCCAGAATGCAGTAGTAACTGGAAAAGAAAAGAAATTACTGCTTTACGCTGCAGTAAATTTAGCACCATTCAGTCGGCTTAAAACGCCTGACTGCAATAGACTGATCTCACCAACCACTCGGTGTTTGCTTGACACTACCATGGTCTTAGTCGAGAAACATGCTGAAATTCAAAACCACTAGTATTTAAAAAAAAATATGTCCTGAAATCGGAAATCAATGGCATTCTGCAGCGTGTTCCACAGAGTGTGAAAGCAATCATGCCGATACTCATCATGATGCGACCATGCAAGTTTTTCTTTTTACCTCTTACAGCATCAAGACACAGGAATGGCCCACGACCACCACGGACACGGTGGCATGCACGACCTCGTAAACGCAACATCCGGTCCCATGGTGACCACCCCGCTTCAGGCGATTCTGACGGCAGTGCTGGCGTCCACAGCGGCGACGGCCCCCGCGCACCACATGGCTCCTGGCACTCAGTCTCCCCACACCGACGGGCACGGCCACATGAACGCGCACGACAGCAGCATGGGGGGAATGCACGACATGGGTGGAATGCACGACATGGGTGGAACGCACGACATGGGGGGGATGGTAGGTGCCCCTCAGTGTTCCGTCACGTTCGGAGCTCATGTCACGTTTGGAGCTCACGGCAATCTGGTTTGAAATGGAAACTTGCATGCAACCATTGTGCGGTGGCAGCGGGTGCACTGCTTGTAATATATTGCAACAATGCATAAAGTTGGGCGAGTTGGTTTGATATATCATGAAAGGGGAACAGCGCGAAAATAAACGAGGGATGAGAAGAAGAGGTAACGACAGACACGGCGCTGACTAGCAACCAGGGTTGTAAAGTACCTAGGTACAAGTAACTGGAAATCAATATCTAGGTACTTCTGTTGTACCTAAGGTACAAACCTAGGTACTTCCTTTTCTTGCTACCTGTATCTGTATGTCAGGTACATTTTGCAGTAACTTGTAATTAAGTGAAGTTACTTTTTGCAGGTACTTTTTCATTAACTTCGTCAAAATGGTAGAGACTATAGACCTTAAAGTATTAACACACCACCATACGCCGTGATTAACATTGAGTTGGGTACGACTTGGGAGGCACTAACTTGACCGAACAACGTTTTAGCGAACAAAGCCCCGCCCATGATGTTTCATCTAACTACACGTTAGAAAATGGTGGTGTTCATTTGAGCGAACAAAAGCGATGCCGTTCTTGGGACACCAATTTATTGAATCGCTTCGGAACCCTGTTTAGAGAAAATAGTGACCTGCTTCCTTCATCTCAAACTGAAATCGACTTCAGTGCGTGTTTGAAGCTGCACTGACAGCTATAGAAGGGAGGAAATAACTTGAAAGATGTGCGCAGTTTTTGTTGATTGTATCTTGTCCGAGTAGTGGCTCTCTTTTGCAGTTAATACAATATAAAATGTAATTGAAATAAATTATAATTGCAGTCGTAAAGCAATGTAACATCGCCTATATAATACTGTTTTCACTCAATAAATTGGACTCATATGTTGCAATTATTGAAACTGAAAAATTCCTAAAAGAAAAAAAAAAAAAGCTTATTTTTCGTCCGACTAATAAAAAAATACAAGGAAGCTTGAAGTTTTTTGCTGGTCGTCGCAAAGGTTAGGTGCATATCCACTCGACTCATGCGTTTCTTCATGCGGCCAATGTCTTCTGGGCCCGTCGACAACAGCACCGTCTCTGGGGTTAAAAACATCAATATGTGACTTTCGGCGGCTTCAGCGTAATATGGTAGACAGTGGATGCTATGTCCTCGCTAAACCAATTGCAGCGTGGCGATAAGTCACGTGAGGACTCAACTTTGATGTGGATATTGCATTGACACCAAGAAAGCACATTTATCAAACTCGTTTTTGAGTGTATATTTAGTATAAAAAACTATATTTTCAATATATTCTGATACATTTGGGGAAAATAAATAAAGTATCTTTGAAGTAACTTTACCTGTACCTAGGCACATTTATGAACGAGTACCTAGATACATACCTTGGTACCTTTTCGTATGAGTAGCCGTAACTGTATCTTAGGTACATTTTTAAGGTAACTTTTACAACCCTGCTAGCAACTGAAAGTTTATTTGTGCACAAAAGACACTAAATAGGAAAAAAAAAACACAAACAACCCGTTAAAATGGTTCCACGCTCACGCTTATCTGCGATTAAACAAACTTGCTACAAGTCATGATAAAGTTCATTTCGTCACTCATCAGAGCTAAGGACTGTGCGCTGACACATGCAAGGGAGATTGATGAAGCATTTTTTATATCTGATAAAGGAGAGGAAGTGTGTGTCAGTGCGCCATCCTTGGCTCTGATGAGTGACGAAGTGAACTTTATCATGGCTCGTGGCAAGTTCGTTTGATTGCAGATAAGCATGTGCGTGGAACCATTGTAATGGGTTGTTTGTGTGGTTTTTTTTTCTCTTTATTTGGTGTTTTGTGCACAAATAAACTTCCAGTTGCTAGCTGGCGCCGTGTCTGTCGTTACCTCTTCTTCTCGTCCCTTGTCTATTTTCACGCTGTTCCCCTTTCATGTTGTAATATATTGTTTGTCTAAAATAGTGATGTGCAAAGTGGGAGTCGTGACACCCCCCTCCTTCTTTCCTCCTCCCAGGAGGGGGGGTGGGAAGAGGAATGTCGCTGGACGGCTTACGAATACTTCGGGGGTCGCCTTCCCTTAAAAGTTTGTGCACCTCTGGTTTAGAATACTTGCACTCTCCTTTAGTTATGCCTCACTGTTCGATTTATACCTATTGTTGGGGGGACTGGGCTGCTGTTATCTTTGAACGGTTTGTCAGGCAAGGGATGACCTTTGTGATTAACAAAAGCTTCTGCTAGCTATGCTGTTTCCATCCCGACTCTAAACCCCTATCTTCTCTTCTTTGTGCGCGAATAGGGGGTAGATCTTTCTAAGAACTCACTCCGTCTGTTCACGTTGCTCCTCGTATAATTTCAACTTTTGTATTGCAGATGATGTACTTCCACTTTGGACTTACGGAAACCGTTCTGTTCAAGAACTGGGCAGTGAATTCTGTTGGAGGTGAGTTGCTTCCATCGATTAAGCAACTGCAATGAGCCCGGAGTATCAGCAAAGGAGAACATGCAATCTTCGACCAATCAAAATTAAAAAGGACCGCGAGACGAAAGCTGACGGGGAACAAAGTAACTTCTTTCTCGCATTCAATTATTTCGCCAGGACAATACCGGGTATCCTGTGCAGTGCATTGTGCTCTGAAGTGGCCATTCGCTCTTCCCCGTGCGAGTTGAAACGGGGCAACACCTGCGTCCCATCAGCTCTTGACCCGAACTAGACGCAAGATTTTACTGATTGTGCGAGATCAAATCTGTGTTATTTACGAAAAATGGCTACTTGTAACATTGTCAGAATTATATGAAACCTACGGTGAAAGGCTGGTGCATAAAAGAGTAGGAAATATGTGCGGATGTGGGCCAGGGCTATTCTATAGATGGCACCAGTGTTTGCCGCACAATGAAAACATTGACGGTTACTTGGCGCATTCTGCAAATTAACTGTGACATTCACGAGGCGCTGCAGACAGTTGCACTGCCGCGTTTAAACTTGGCCGACTCTTGTACCGCCAAATTCAGTGGGACAATTTAGAGGGAAAATTGTGATGTCACTCAACATGACGTCGTGCAACATTGATTCCCGACTAAATTTGGTAGAGCAATTTTCCCGCCGAATTTAGCGGGTCAAGACGTATACACCAACATTACTAGATCGGGTAAGCCGACAAGCTCCAACAAAGAGTTGACGCGCTCTCATTCACTGCCGCGCGACAGCGCTGTTGTCGCAGCAGGCCTGAAGCCGCTCAGTCCGACGCCTCGCTACACTTAGATATGCTGTGAAACACATTGTTTTCGTGTGGGTTTACAAAGTGTATTACCAACGACTGTTGCCACTGTGATAATGTCCAGATTAAGGGGGGACATGGGCCTAAATTTTAAATTTTTTCGAAAAAATTCATTTTTTTAATTTTGAGGTTTTCAGTTTTAGAAACTAATTATACACCCTTACACCAAATTTGATAACCATACGCCAAATAGTTACGTTGATATAAAATGTTTTCAACACATTGTGAGGCAGTAACAAAGTAAAGGAGTTCAATGTTCGAATGCATTTTTCTGAGTTCCACTTTTTGCTGCAAATTTCATACGAAGGAATCTTTTGTTCGAAGGTGAAAGTATTCTGATACCACAGTCAAGATGTTTCTGAACTGAAATTTACTCAGGAATTGGGCTATCTACTTTATTTTGTTTTAAGTTGAGGTCCTCAGTGATAAAAAATTAGATTTTCAAAAATTGACAGAGGACAGATATGCATCTATTAGTTTGAGGTAATAACACTTCCTGAAATATTTACATTTAAGTTATTTAAACTAGATGGCCCGAGGTGCCATATCCCCCACTTTATATTCAAGCAGTCAAAATGATGCTTAATAGCTTCATTTGCATATCATAGATTTCTTAATGAAAAGTGACACATCATCTTATGCAGGTATGTACATTTGTCCTAGAGAGCTGAAAGTTTTCACAGTACACTTAAATCTGAAGCTCAATCTCCCCTGAATATTTCATTCCGATCACTTGAGTAGTTAAAAAGTTTGACCTCTAGCCAGTGTCCCCCCTTAAGACAACATTTCCTGGAACTTTAGAGCTGGATTTATTCCTGCTGGGCCTTTGTAATTTTGGCAGTCTTCCACATTCGACACCAAAGCAAGCAAGCTCGGAGAAATGACTGCATCTGTCGTGATTTCCGGCACAAGAACCGCTCTGTTTTGGTCGTTTGTGGACTGAAATACCAAGAATTTTTCTCTTCTGATGTCATGTGTTTGTGTCAGAAGTTTAAGCATAAACTCCTGCATACATGCCACATGTAGTACACAGCCTCTTTTTATTCAGCCTCCAGCAGGCATGACTGAGGAGGTCCTATGTCATCAAGATAATCTCCTTGTGGTTTGTCTAATTTAAGGAAGGATCATCTGGTTGGGGGAAGAGGGGTAGGTTGAGGAGGGAAAAAAAAGAATGCGAGTCTCATAACCAGTCCTCTTTATTTCCAGAGACCAGTCTGTGTAAACAAAACCCCAATTACTGTTTATGCTTTATGAATGTGAAGCATTTATTCTGGGCACTAACTAGTCAAAGTAAAAACAATCTTTTCAAAGTCTTAGGTTCTTGTAGACAATAAGGAATCAGGATACACAGTAGCAGCAGCCTGTTTTCATATATTGTTGTGTTATTGTGCGTTTGGCATATCACTGCACAAATATTGTGACTGGTATACGAGGCTGGCATACTTATCAATGTTGTGGTGTTTCCTTGCCAAGGAAAACAAATGGTAGTAGTCGGTTGCAAGGGGGTGGATAGCTCCTCAATATTATACATTCAGTTTGCTTCTAATTGTGCTTCCAGTGACACAGGTTTCTGTAGCTCTTTAGGAACACAGATAAAGGTGCCTGAACTGCATGTACTGTTCAGAGGCATGACACGGTGAATTGATAAAGTGGCCAGTCATTACGGTGAATTGATAAAGTGACCAGTCATTCTTTGAATGGGTCTAAAGATGTCCATAACAGATTTAATAAAAAGTAGAGGACTTAAATGTCAAGGTCAATACCACCTCTGAATGAAAGAGACACTTTGCTCTTGTGAGCGATTTCTATATGATCTTTCGATGCTGTCATCACCACTAGATTTGGAAGAAAAGTTTAGCTTGTTTAAGAGCAAGATGATTGAGTGTTTGCTTTGCTCCAGAGTTTCTCAAAATTCTGGAGAAAATTGAAGCTTTCTTTTCATGCAAATTCTAGTGCACAAAGGAAGAGTGCCTTGCGACACCAGGTGACAATCTAGGTATACCGAGCAGAAAAATTTATAATTCATTATGCATGTTGATCAAGCCCCCTGGGAAGAGGAACGAAAGATCAGTCAAGAGACAGTAAAAACAATAATGTTAGGACAGAGGTTTTCTGAATTCATGGAACATTGCACAAGCAATTTCCAGGTAATGGTGCAGAGGTATCAATAAAAGCCAATAGATAATAAACATTATGCTAAACAAAGTATGCAGTATGCTGGTCATATTATTGGAACTTTTCTACAAGTAAGGCTAATAGTTCTCAGTGATCACAACCTCCAAATATTGCTAGTATAAATCGGCTCTTCTGTAAGAGCGAAATTTGTTTTTATTGGCAACTAATCTCGCAGCAGTTTGGCGCGTCACCTCAAAAACTGAGTGCAATCCCCCCCAGAGTCATTTCATACCACATCAAATTGTACAAAGCATGCTAGGCAGTAGTTAGAGCGGTGTTCCATGGAATGCGCCGAATACTGCAAGCTATATACTATAGTCACAACTGGACCAATGTTTACACCCTGTGTCATGCTCATTCCATTTGTTTTTTGCCAGGCATGGTGGGTTCGGTGGTGGGCGTCTTCATCATGGCTGCCATGTACGAGGGACTCAAGTACTTCCGGGAGCACCTGTTTCGCCTGCACTTCTCGAGCATGCACTATTCCTCGGTGGCCGTCACGGGCCAGGACGGCCGCACCCTCACCGAAGTGCACCAGATAGCCAGGTGGGGATGTCTGCCTAGGGTCATCGATGGGTCACAAACATTTTTTTATCGCTCCGCAGTCAACAAGATTGTGGCATTGGCCAACGAGAATGCCGAGGAACGAATTTCAAAAGAAAAAAAAAGTGTGAATGTAATGAGCCACATCGGTTTCATAAGCTGGTGGGGACTGTACGTAGTATTAACTGCTTAGAATGTGAAACATTCAAGGCCATACAGAGTCCTTGAATACGCTACTTACTGGTCAGAAAACTTCTCCGTGACGCTATGGGAGAGCTTGGTAAGCGACCACACGCAGCACTGCCGTCGGGGGAAGGGGGGGGGGGGGGGGGGGGGGGGGAGGGAGGGAGGGAGGGAGGGAGGGAGGGGAGGGGAGGGGAGGGGAGGGGGGGAGGGGAGGGGAGGGGAGGAGGAGGGGGACGGCGGCAGCGGCGGGGGGCTGAGAGCCGCCAATCTGGCCAATTTCAAACCCACTCTGAAGGAGCCACCAATCTGAACAAGCCACCACTCTGAACGAGCCACCGACTGACTTCTGTATTCATTTATTTTGCTTTCCAGTTAGGTCAAGGCTTGAATTCGGTTCTGCAGCTTGGAATTCTTAGTCAGAAACACAGTCAACAAAAATTGGAAGTGTGCAACAATGCTTAATACACATTTTTTGCGACCGCTATCTTTAGCGCCACTTTTATTTTGATTACAACTTTCTTCTAGATAAGTTCTTGCTGACACCATTGTCCGACAGAAGAACAGAACACAACTTGATTTTTTTGCACAGGATAGTAAATGGAATGATAGATAATGATTCACTTTTATCCAATATTAATATCCATGTCCCCTCCCGTTTGACTAGGAATCGTTCTACTTTTAACTCAAAAACATTAACTGTTTTATGGAGCGAGCCGATGTCATCAGCTTTGAAACTGTGCCAAACAGCATCTAAACTTCTTTCTCCAAGTGAAGCCAGCTCCCAGCTATGAAACCATGCGAAGAGCCTAGCCAAACGGCACCTAGTTTCCCCGATCCCAAAGGAGCGGAGTAAAGCTGATGGATTTCAGCTTCAGTCCCATTGACTGGCGCATGTCAACGAGGCTCCCATTGGCCACTGCGCGTCAGTTTCAACGACCGGCACACCATGACGCTGCATGTCCGTCAGTGCGCTGGTAACACAAAACGTCCAAGAGCAGAGCGGCGAAAAGAGGGCACGCTCTGCCGTCGAGGCAGATATGCTGCAGACTGAATAAGGGAACAGAAAAATGACGTGCATGCTTTCGCATTCACAACTCATACGAAGTACTTGGATGTACCTCGAGCCTTTTTATGTTAGTAGTACATCTGCAGATCTTCACCGTTGTCACGCATGCAATCACTGTTCAATTGCTTTGACAATCCAGATATTGAAACATTCAGCGACTTTTCTGTTTACTCCAAGCAATTGCAAGGGATCGCTACCTATCCGTGATGTGTTTCATTTGTTTTGTGTCAGTTTGGCGTTTACTCATTCTTTGTGCACCAAAGTGAAGACCTTTGGGTTGTTTTTGGGCACACGAAAATAAAGATTATTATTATTTTTATTATTAAAGTAAGCGTCTTCAGCTACATACATTCAGCCAACTGATCAAACTTCCTTTTCTGCAACCATTCTCCAAAATTATATACTGTAAATGACTTAATTTTCGCAAAGACCTAATTTTCGCGAATTTCACGAATCGCCTACAATTCGCGAAAAAATAGGTCCCGCAAACAATTCCGATAAAATGTAAACACAGTGGAACCTATATTGAGATTTTACCGCGTCGTGAAAATTAGAACCCGCAAATCATTCCAGAACTTCAGCTTTGACCTAAATCACGAAATATTGAGCCCGCAAAAAATAAGTCGTTTCCTTGACACGATTCCTCGATGTCGCCATCAAACTTCAGCACCTCAAGTAGTGCCATCAAGTGGAGGCATTGCGAACCTGTATGCTTAATTGTCCGACTCTTTTTCGCTCGTAAAAACACAATTTTGTTTGAAAAAACAATAACAAGCCTATTTCTAAATTATGTCGTTAGAGATCAACAAAGAATTACCGGTGTTTGCATACAGTGATCAATTACAGACGTAAAAAAAATGTCGATCTATGAGAAAGATTTTCTAGATTAGTCCTAATTGTGACGGGGTGACTCACTGAAGGTGCATTCACACTGCCGTTCGAATTGTAACCGCAAAGCGAGTCCGCTTACTTTCATCATCAAATGCAAGTGAAATTGTATTAGATCTTCAAGCAAACCGCATTTGCAACCGCTTTGCAGACGTGGTTCATTCGCTGGTGTGAATATGGCACAAGAGTGGGGTGGCCAAACGAAAATGACCCCTCCAAGACAGGTGGCGCTCCTAGCGGCAGTTTTTGACCCTGTACCAAACTTTAGCCAAAGTTTCGTGACCAGTAGCGTGTTGAAGGCCGTACTACATTTGTAAGCCCATTTTCATTCATTATTATTATGGTGGTGGAACACGCACCTCGAGGATCCCCTTTAGTTTCTGAAGCATCATAGATACCCGGCCACACGTGACAGTAGCAAAGTAGTCCTTTCAGAACAGACATTGATCCACTGGACTGTGTCCCACTGCTTTGTTTTACAGGAACAGGATTGTCAGTTGGGCACACTTCCTCCAGACATTCCTGCACATGGTACAGGTGGTGCTGAGTTACTTCCTCATGCTGATCTTCATGACGTACAACGTGTGGCTATGTCTGGGCGTAGTCCTAGGGGCAGGTTTTGGCTACTTCATCTTCGGGTGGAAGAAGGCGACGGTCGTGGACGTCACCGACCACTGTCACTAACGTCGACCCCTGGCCGATCCAGAAAAGGAAACGATTGTCATACTTGTCGATGCCGAGTTCGAAGCGACGCATCGGTCAACGGCTACGCGCGAACCTAGACGTCTGTACAGGAATAGGGTCCTCAAACTTGTTCGTTCCTGGGGCTTGTAGATTTACCGTGGTGTGATCCTCCAGTGCTGAATGCAGATCCCGACATACTGTTTGCGAGCAAGAGTGAGTGGATTATGTATCTGAAGTCCTTAAAAGATGATTTTTCCATCCTCGCAGATGTGCTAGGAATTGCGATCTTGCCCGTGAACAGTATGTAGGTTTACATAGGCCTCGAGATGGAACCGAGTATCAAGTGATGTTTTCAGAGATGAGAGAGTGGCCCTGTTTCTGCCCATGTGCTGTTGATCAAATCGACTGCTTGTATGTTGGGGAGCGTTTTCGAAGACTTTTTTTTGGTCCGGCAACTTTGCACAGGCCATTCAAGAATGACAATGGCGGGAATCGCGCTGCAAAATGTGCGGTGGTGCTTCAGCACGCAGTACGTGTTTTTGCCGTGTTACAACCTAGCCTCAAGCCACTTGCACAGTAACACTTGCTGGCATTTGTTGTGAAGCCACTTTATGGGACCAGTAGTTTTTCACAACTCTGCCTCAGTTTTCGTACGAGGTCTGGTACAATAAAGACGAAAAAAAGTATGGTGATGTTGACTCCCCAGGTGTGTACTTTGTTTTGTAAATCGATGGTAACGGCTAATGTATGTTCAGTTTCTGTTGAGGTAAACAAACTCGCAACTTTCAAGGCCAACGACTGGAAACAGTTGATGCCATGTGAATGGCGATTTGTATTACTTGAGATTACATCCTTACAGAACTGGCAAGCACCTAGCCATTGTGAGCTCCTTTATCACCAATAATTGTACCTAATTACTATTAGTTCTGTCATTTATCAATCTGTGCTTTCTAGATTGTTTTTTGTTCCTGAAATAAGTGTTCAGAAATTACGGTCCTCGGAAAATATGTACAAGTTTATTCGTCTTAATCCCTTTATAGAGCTAAGTAGCTTTGTGGAGCCCTCGAAATAAATTCAAGTTGCTCTTTCTTCGTACCCTACTTACCATGGCGACATTTCATATCGTAAATGTTTAAAGATTTGGACATCGTAGTAGCTCAAAATCAACATCTGGTTTTATGGGTGTTTGATTTTGAATGGCTCCTTGAGAGTTGTTAGCTGGGAACCAGCATTTTGTTTGTTTTTCCCTCGTTTCTCCCGATGCAACAATGCACACATTGGAACTGCTTAAACTTCGATTTCCTTTGTCAATTTGCCAAAGAATTTTGCTTAGAATAAACAAAGCAAGAAAAATGAAGTGTTTAGACTTTGATCAGATGTACACTTTTTGCTGGCTGAGGTTTCAGAGTCCGATCAAGAGCCCCAGTCGCCAAGTGTAAATTTACACGGCTGTGCATATTACACTCGAGCACACTGCTGTGCCCAGTCTTCAAATTGCCATCCTACAACTTGAGCCAAAACTGCCCACTTGTTCACATGTTGGAACCTTCTGCCAGTCTCCCATTTCATTCTGTTCTCCCCATCTGCAATCTGTTAGAATGCTCCTCCTTAAAGAGCTTGTTGCATTTCTTCTTGTGCTTGTCGAAACGTAATTGCATGCCCAAAGTGTCGTGTGGGCTCTGCCAATCGATAATTTAATCCGAGCTGTAGTCCTTTCCTCAGCGTGGATTTGTCACTGCTCTAACAATGGATCCGCAGTAGTGGAAGCTATGTGACGGAGTTTTCCCCGTCGTAAGTGGCAGTACTTACGAGGAGCTTACACACGACAGTGCATGTGTGTGTGTGTGTGTGTGTGGAGGGGGGGGGGGGGGCGTGAGTGTGTGTGGATGTGTGTGCTTATTTGCAAATGCAGTGCTACTATTTTCCTGTTATTTGTAGCATATTCATCTCGCTACTCATGCAGGCTTAAATTTTAAGTTCACAGTGACAAATCTGTGCCATGCAGATAAACTCACACCTGTTGGAACTGTACGGTATACTGCTGTGAAGGCTAAGTGCTCTTTGGGGTGGGGAAATCGCATCCTGGTTTTGTACAGACCGTACAAGAACGTAGAATAGCACTAGCAAAATTTGATGTTTGGGAGGGTAGTGTACTGCTATCGCTGTTGGTGATGTAACGTGTTTGCATCTTGAGGGAAGAGAGCTGAAGAGGTTCAAAGGAATGCTTTCATACAAGGTTTAAAGTGTATACGTTGGAAAATTACTGTGATAACATTCTGAGATATCATTCTTTTTTTTTTTTCTTTGCTCATACCATTTTTTAGAAAACATTGTTAAAAAAATGGTTGTAATTGTTTTCTATTTGATCCTCATATTCAAACTCTCTGCCATGTTGCAGCGTACTCGTATATGGGCCGGGCAACCTTGATGGGTGCATTTCTTGTAATTTTGTACTGCTTTTTAAAAGTGGATATTTTTGTTTCATTATTGTTAGTATTAAAAGAAATGCGACTTGTGCTGCTGTTTTGTCTTTATTGCAAGGTGGCCATGGCATCCCCTGTTGTAACCTCAGACTCTCTAGCTTTGAAGCTACTATGCTGTCACCGTTGAGTGGGATGGTGTCATCTTTCCCAGGTTTTGGGAAGAACTTAATTCTGCAAACTGAAAGTGGCAGAAGCATGTGTCAGCTTGTGCTGAACAGAATTTCACATAAATAGGGCAAATCAGTTTGAAGAAGGCTTTTGGTTCTTGTCTTCGTAACTGTTTGAAACTGCATCTCGTTTGTACTAAGTGGCACTTGGGACTCGCTGAGAAGGTGAGAACGGCACAGGCAAAGCACAGCGGACGGCATGAAGCGCATGCTGGAATCTAGGCATCCTAGACGTCCTGCCGCTCTCATTCGGTTCGTGACTATAGCTTTGGCAAGTACTTGGCACAAGGGCCTCAAGATTGTTTTTCGCATTGCTAAAATTTTAGGATGAGGACCTCTATAATAATGTGCACAAGCACCGCTACTCCGATGACCGTAGCAATTAACGGCCACCATATTCTCCGTATTCAACAATAAGGTGACAATCCTTGTTTAGGATGCCAAATGCTTGCTGCTCTTGCAAGCATACCTTTGTGGCCTTGAAACACATGCAAAGTTTGTGGGTTTGCGACCAACCAACCAGGGGCATTTGGCATGCTCGGTGGTAAAAAGGAATGTGCGCGTACAACTCCTACACAAGCTTCCGTTGGATGGCGGACACCTCTGCTAAGATGCCGGGCGTGACTTAGCTGCGCACAAGCGCCCCTCAACATTCCATAATCAATAAATGATGCAGCAAAACAAAAACAAAAAAATCGGGCAAATACCTACGAGCCAGAATTCGTGGTGATATTGAAATTCCGTTCCAACTGCTTTCGTACATGGTCTGGCCAACATATGCATGCAATAAAACCACAGCCATTGCTTCGTTGTTACCATGAACCTAAAAGTCCGCACTGGAAAACACACACACAGTTCTTGTAGAGTACCAAGGTGGTGAGTGATATGGGGGTGCCAGCAATGTTCCTTTAGCACCATCTGAGCACAGCACCACAACAGTCGTGTCTTTGAGGAGATGCACAGTCTTCCAACGGTCAGATATCCATGGGATCAGTTCCTGTATCCCTCCGGGATGATGATGTTGCTGTTGCTTTGTCCCTCATTGTAGAGGGTAGGTCCGTCTGAAAATGGTACCCGTGGCTAAAATTACTCAACCTCAAGGACGCTGCAGTATACTATGCAAGACCTTATGGTAAAATGCCCATCGGCGTGGGTTCCTGTGGTCAATACCATTTTGTACACAATACTATCAAAGTTTTTATTGGCATTTTGCATTGACAAGAACCATGAAGCATATTTGACTGGTTTTGGCAGGCTAACATGAATTTGGCAGGTGTACTTCAGCTGTACCTCCGTACAAACGTGTCTGAATTTATGCCCGTAGGTAAAAATGTCAGTAAACAAGCACTTTTGTCCCCATTAATTCCGAACACCTTCAGTGATGGAACCTTTCGGTGGGATGGCAGGAAAAGGTTGGTCAATAGCATTTTGAAGGTGCACAACCAGCATTGCTAGCATGCATAATTGAAGACTGACTTCCAAGAACACATTATGTATGTAACTACACATACACCACAATATAGAGTTTACCGTAATATCCCGAGAGATAGCCCACTTAAAATCGAGGCCAAATTGGGTGAAAATAAGGAGTGGGCTAACCTTCAATGTAAAACCACAAAAAGATGAAAAAAAAAAAAAAGAAAAGCTATTTTTAGATTATGTGTGTCTGCCAAACTTGTTATCGCGGTGAAGGACAATGAAGCAAAGACGATTGTACTTCCCAGGCAGCAACGTTCGCTTATATACCGCCATAGCTAACTAGACGCATTTCCGCCGAGGTCATCACTGATCCGAACACTATGATTACAAGAAGTGGGCTATTTTTCGGTGTTTAAAACAAAATAGCAAATCAAGTCAAAAATAGGGGGCGGGTTACCTTCCGAGGGTGGGGCATCTCTTGGGATTGTATGGTATGTAAATACCGTAAAATACCGAAAAAGCGCCCACTCAAAATTTAAAGATGACCGCGAAAAAAAAAAGAGGATGGGCGCTTGTCCAGTCATCAATTTTACACATAAATGTGCTGCACGTATTTAATCAGATCTTATTAATTTGGGTGTGAGCGCTTAATGCGGAATGGGCGGATGTGCGTATTCTACGGTAAATGAAAGTAAAAACTAGTGTATGGTTGTCCGTCTTTGTATTTATTCTTAGTCTCGGGTTCTCCATTAAGATGTTATGTGTATAGGCTGTGTGTGCCCACCATGCAGGCCAAATAAAGGAAGCAATTTAATGGAGTACATGGCTGCCAGCAAAATACTGTTTGAACACATATCTGTATATTCACTGAGCCCTACATAGTGATAAGGTGATAAGACACTCACCGAGGAGAAACAAGTGAAGAAAGCATAGTTCAGCTCGGCGTAACGCCAACAAAATTGAAGCGCCTTTCCACCAGAAAATCCAGATTCCCTTCAACATGAAGAGATTGGTCCATTGGAACTTCAGTGCTCCGGTTAATTTACGGACTGTTTTCGAGGGGGTAATTATCGTTTGAGCCCGTTCTTGTTTTGCCCTTCTCACTTGGCCCTTCTCAAAACAACCATTCTCAAAAAGATCTCTCTTGGACCTGTCGCATTTGGCACTTTCCTGTTTCGTCCTTCGCATTTTAACCCTCCTCCTTTGAGTCCGTTCTCGTTTTGCCCTTCTTACTTGGCCCTTCTTAAAACAATTATTCTCAAAAAGATCTCGTTTCGGCCCGTCGCCATATGGCCTTTTCCCGTTTCGTCTTTCGCATTCCAACTCTCCTCATTTGGGCCCGTTCTCTCTTCGCCCTTCTCACCTGGCCCTTTTCAAAACAGCCATTCTCAAAAATATCTCACTTTGACCCGTTGCACTTAACTCTTTTCATACCAAAATCGTTTTTTAGGGCAATATTAATAAATACATTGATATATTTTGTGCGTGTGTGTCACGCTACAGGCATACTTTCTCTGCTAAGGATTTTAGCAGTGCACCGAGGTTGTCGCGAAAAGCTAATAGCTGACAATAAAACAGACCAACTATTTATTGCAGCCAGATCATATTCCGAAATGTCACCTTGTTTAAGGTCACTCGACTTGGGTCAATGCCACCACTTTTATAATGCAGTGGTTTTCAAATGGGGGTCTGCGAAGGCATCTTAGGGGTCCGTGAAGCACTGTCTCAACAGTCAAGCACGGCAATGTTAGTTGTCTTTCTTCACGTTGAGAAGAAACGTTCCAATTTTCGGGTGAGTACTCGTGTATATGTCAATGAGATAAGTCTACTTCACACTAGCAATGTAGTTATATTCATTTATTAAATCATTATCATGATAACCTATATACCTTTCAATTCGCCTCACCCCGAACGGGGTCCTCCATCATCTCCGCCTTTCTACAAGGGGTCCGCGAAACATCAATGGTTGAGAACCACTGCTATTATGTATGCTATTTCTGTTCGAACAAAGTTTACAAATTAAATGTTCATCACTTTTTTATTTTTCCCGTTTGCTTAGAGGAAGGGAAGCAGGCGTCATTGTATGATTCTCAATGCGTACCTCTACACATAACATATATCTGATGGTATGTTGGGGGCCCAAGCAAGGTAAGGCTCATCAACAAAACCGCGAAGGCATAACGACGTTAGAAGTATGCCGAATTAGTGCCATTCGGTCGTAGCGCGAACGGGCGAAATGAGAATGGGTCCAGTTGCGAAAAATACAATTTGGATCTTATGAGAAGGTTCAAACAAGGCGGAACAAATGAGAATGGGACGAAATGCGCATGGTCAAAATGCGAATGGGACGTATTTAGATAACGGGCAAAATGAGAATGGGCCCAGTTGCGAAAAACACGATTAGGATCTTATGAGAAGGTTCAAACGAGAAGGACCAAATAGAATGAGACGAAATGTGCAAGGTTCAAATGCGAATGGGACGTTTTGAGATACACCCTTTTCGATGCCCTGTGGACAGTGTTTCGATTCGTGCGCGACTATACAGCATGCTAAAAAAGTTACTCGTTAAGCAACTATTACTTCTCAACTAAGCTCAAAACTCTCGTTTGTAGGTTGGTTTTGGTGCTGTGCTTCAGAGCGACGAACCTTTCATCATGTTGGTAATGAAAATCATTGTTGCCAGTTGCCCAAAGCCTAATCTGAAATAGCAGGAAACGGTTTTCTGTCCTTCAAAAATGTTAAAACCGTCCGTGACGGAGCGAGACGATCGCTCGAGCTTCTCAACACTATATGAAGCTCAGAAAGTTGCATTTTCTAATCGTAACGACTGTCACTTACACATCCACCCCGCACTAGGCACCAAAACGGCTGCGCCCACGAGACGACCGGGGAATCGACTGCCAACTAGTTTGAACTTGGTCCATTTGGAAAAGAAGCCCTTCGATCAATACGGCACTCATCTCTTTGTCATTTCTGGTTTCACGTAGCTCGGACAAACGGAGCGGTGCGGATTTGCTCCCGTACCTGCGTAGCAGCATCCCCGTTCTTCCTTGAGCGCAGCAGGCTCCTTAGAGAAGTGTTGCTACTCGGTGGAACCTTGGTCGCAAAGGTCTGCGGACAGGCCTGGAAATCCCCAAATTACAGCATATCTATGCAAAAGAGCAAATCTCATAGGTCACACATTGAAAGGTAAGGGGCAATAGTATATACCCTGCTCGACAGACTACGACTTCTGCGAGTTCAAGCACACAACTCTGTAAGGGCTGTCACCCTGCTTGTAGCAGAGAGACGAAAGGGTGCACTTGGGATGTTGCATTAATGGGAGTATAGCACTTTCCTAACAGCTGCATAGTAAGTTGCGCTTCAGAGCGACAAACCTTTCGTCATGTTGTAATGAAGATCATTGTTGCCAGTCGCCTGAAGCCTGAAATAGCAGGAAACAATTTCCTGTCCTTCAAAAATGTTAAAACCGTCCGCGACGGAGCAAGACGATCGCTCAAGCTTCCCGAAACTGTATATGAAGCTCGGGAAGTGGCATTTTCTAGTCGTAACGACCGCTACTTACACATCCACTCGCACTAGGCACCAAAATGGCTGCACCCACGAGACGACCGGGCAATCGACTACCAACTAGTTTGAACTTGGTCCATTTGGAAAAGAAGCCCTTCGATCAATACGGCACTCATCTCTTTGTCATTTCTGGTTTCACGTAGCTCGGACGAACGGAGCGGTGCGGATTTGCTCCCGTACCTGCGTAGCAGCGTCCCCGTCCTTCCTGAAGCGCAGCAAGCTCCTCAAAGAGGCGTTGCTACCAGGTGGAACCATGGTCGCAAAGGTCTGCGGACGGGCCTGGAAATCCCCAAAATACAGCATATCCGTAAGAGCAAATCTCTTTGGTCACATAATGAAATGTAGGGGGCAATATATACCCTCCTCGACAGACTACGAATTCTGCGAGTTCAAGAACACAACTCCGTAAGGGTGGTCACCCTGCTTGTAGCAGAGAGACGAAAGGGTGCACTTGGGATGTTGCATTAATGGGAGTGTAACACCTTCCTAACAGCTGCATAAGCTGTGCTTCAGAGCGACGAACCTTTCGTCATGTTGTAATGAAAATCATTGTTGCCAGTCGCACGAAGCCTAATCTGAAATAGCAGGAAACAATTTCCTGTCCTTCAAAAATGTTAAAACCGTCCGCGATGGAGCAAGACGGTCGCTCGAGCTTCCCGACACTGTATATGAAGCTCGGGAAGTCGCATTTTCTAGTCGTAACGACCGCTACTTACACATCCACTCGCACTAGGCACCAAAATGGCTGCGCCCACGAGACGACCGGGGAATCAACTGCCAACTAGTTTCAGAGCCGTATATGTAGAAAGTTTGGCCATTCATTGGGAAGTATAGGAGACAAATGAGAAGGCGCCATGGGCCGAAAGCGGGCTGGGTGTGTTCCAGGGCATCTTCAGAAATTCAAATGTGGCCAACCAGAAGCCAGAAAGAATACCCTGGCGGTGGTTGCGAGAAACAAACTTGATATGTGCATTGGAGTAACTCTTGCTGACTTAAAATATGGTGCACGTGATGCTTCAATCACGGTCATCCAAAATTATGGTGAAAGAGTGCGACTAGTGGAACGATCGACATAATCCGTACGCCAAGCACCGAGGGCCGGGAATCTGCCGTCTGAGCAGTCACACTCTGTCCAAGCAAAACAGAGTTGAGCGGTGCATTCGTGTCTTAAATCTTTCTACATGATCATGATAGAAACATGACGTGCACCCTATTTTCAACCACCAAGGGTTACTGCACTTCACTCTTATGCACTTATCAAAACCATATACGAACATATATCTTTGACTAAAACAGTTTCTCGCTACCACCGCTAGGGGATTCTTTTAGGCTTCTGGTTGGCCAAGAGAGCATGCCAAGCCCACTTTCTGAGTCTGGTGCACGCCCTGGCTCTGCCCGCACCTCCAATTGACCAAACTCTCTGTATACACGGCTCTGACTAGTCTAAACTTGGTCCATTTGGAAAAGAAGCCCTTCGATCAATACGGCACTCATTTCTCAGTCATTTCTGGTTTTACGTAGCTCGGACAAACGGAGCGGTGCGAATTTGCTCCCGTACCTGCGTAGCAGCATCCCCGTCCTTCCTGAAGCGCAGCAAGCTCCTCAAAGAGGCGCTGCTACCCGGTGGAACCTTGGTCGCAAAGGTCTGCGGACGGGCCTGGAAATCCCCAAATTACAGCATATCCAAAAGAGCGAATCTCTTTGGTCACACAATGAAAGGTAAGGGGCAATACCGTATATGCCCTGCTCAGCAGACTACAAATCCTGCGAGTTCAAGCACACAACTGCGTAAGGACTGTCACCCTGCTTGTAGCAGAGAGACGAAAGGGTGCACTTGGTATGTTGCATTAGGGAGTGTAGCACCTTCCTAACAGCTGCATCTACTAATTTTAACAATAGAAAGGTGCCTGTTGGGTTTGCTAGTATGTTAAAGACACTAATCCCAATCCCCCCGCCCCCCCCACCTCAAGAAAAAGAAAATCTGTTTAGATGGAATTCACATATGTCACAAAATAAAGTTACTGCCAAAACATTTTCTGGGCACAATACTTAGGTTAACAGAGTCGCGTCGAGAATCGGGACAATGTGCCAAAACAGAAGTATGTTTCAGAATCTCTCTTCACTCAAACCGACTTTCACGACAAAAATATTGAGCTAAGTAACTTTCTAACGGAAAGTTCATTTTGTGACGTATGTCTCCAATCTAGGCACTTAAGAAAACATTTCTTGGGAGATTAGTGTTTCTAGGAGCGGTTTTGAAACATGTTTCTATTTTGGGTCAACATGCCCAAATATCAGAATCGCTCCCAACTCGCAATGTGTCTTGTGGCATAAATACTGCACTAAAGCAAAAACATAGTTTAACCAGTGACACTTAGCAAAAAAAATATTTTTGGAAGTTAAATGCCATTCTAAATACGAGCCAACTTGTTTTAAAACCTTTTTAAATTATTTATGGATGATTTTCTCTCAAATCATACAAGAAAAAATTATAGATCCTGGTAAAATTTTGAAAAAAATATATGCTGGTGGAAAAATGTGTGACTTGAACAAAACTGCAAATTAGAACTATAGAACATTTTTTGTTCTTGAGTTTTGGGCTTCGAAATGGCCATTTTTGCCATTTTTGCAGTTTTCACGAGTGACACATTTTGGAGTCTCGAAACTTTTTTTTTTGTTTCACAACAATTAACTTTTTTACTGATATAAGACTTCATATAGAAGGATTAAAGTTTTTTAGAAGCGTGTCTTTTTAATTTTATTTTATGAAATAAAATGTTTTGAATCTTGCACCCTTGACAATAGGTGCAAGTTTGAATGGAGCTAACTTTCGATGTACAATTATTTAAGGCATAAGTGACATATCAAATGAAAGCTTATATCTAAGCCTATTTAAAATTATAATAATGAATTAAAACTAATATTGTTAATTTAGGCATAGTTTATATAGAAGAAACAACACTGTAAACTTGAGAAGAAATGCAATAAAATATAAAATTCAATGTAATTTTTACAAAATGTGTAATTTTTATTTTTTTCCATTTTTTATATGAAAAGCTTGCTATATGTTCTTATATATGCAATAAAATTTCTTGGACATATATGGTTCTGTCATATTAAGTAGTGTGTTTGAAAAGAAACATATTTGTACCCCCCCTTCCAGGATGAAAAGATATAGGCCGTTGCCAAATCTTTTACGTAATTATCATATACAGGGTGTTACAAAAAAAACAACTTACAGGGCTTTTTTTTACCGCAAAAATAAACTAGGCATCGCCAAACGCTCATTCTCCACCCAAAGGTAGCGCTAGAGGTCACAACCAGATGCCAAAGTTTCAGCCCGATCCAATGCCTTATTCAAAAGTTATCAGTGATTTTCTGAAAATTTCAATGGGAAAATGGCGGCCGACGGAGTTTTCGAATACATGGGGCTCTATGGCGCCAGAAACTGAAAACGGGCAAAAATGGGCTCCATTTTCCCAATCAGATTTTCAGAAAATCACTTATAACTTTTGAATAAGGCTTCGGATCGGGCATCTGGCTGTTACCTCTAGTGCTACCTTTGGGTGGAGAATGGGCGTTTGGAAATGCCTAGCTTATTTTTGCACTAAAGAAAACCCTGTAAATTTCTTTTTGTGACACCCTGCATATATATATATACATATGGTTGTAACATGACCATAATATTTATGATATACCTCATGTACCATTTAGTAAAAATGAGGCATGACTGGTATGTCATAATTTAAAAAAAAAAAAGCTCATGAACATGTCCAGTAGACATATAAAATCTCAAGACTCACAACTTTTCTGTAAGTAAACTCTTTGAAACATCTTTTTTTATTTAACAAGCACAAAAATTAAGTTTCACAAACCCCTATATCAGGCAATCAAGTGGCAAGATAAATTATTTTCAGAAACGTAGCGGGCCGAGCGCGAGATTTTGCTTCTTTCATATACTGGCGAGGCTCGTTCAAAACTTCCCGACTTTCTTGTTATTTCAGGCAATAACGAAGAACACAGGTAAATGGGGGAAATGCATAATATTACATAGCATTTTTTAGTATTATAAGTTTACAGTAACGTTTATGATGATAAAAGAAGAAGTGATTTTAAGTGAGTTTAAAATTACTCTTGACGACTACCTTTTTTATTTTTTATCACAACCCTGAAAGACCCACCTCTATTTTGAACCATCACCCACAAGTGGCAGGATTAAATGTTTTTCACAGCAATAAAAATTCCATCCTTTTTTCACACTGTCACGGTATTGGGCGAGGCATGCTGCTTCAATTTTGAGGAGTACAATTCCAGGCACTTTCGAGGCCACTACATGAGAAAAATTATCAGCACTTCCAATGTTTTCCAGCTCTGACGACCTGAGGTTGTGCAAGAAGGCTTGGTGCTCGAGGACTCTCCACACACCATTACACACATTTTTGCTGTGTCCCGTAGCTTAAAAAATCAACTTGGTCACCTGTTGTCTCTTTGCCACCTAAACAGTTCAACACTATTTTTGAAATGACTAGCCTCTCCGTAGAACATGTGGACAAGTTTGGTAAATATCGGATTGTTTTCTTCCGGAATATTTTGTAAACCTAGACAGGTAAAATACCAATGATCTGGCAGTTTGTTTGATATTTCCAGAATTATTCAATCTTTTTTTATTTGTGTGTTGTGTGCATATATTATCCACCCATTTTGTACTTTCGCATGAAATATCTTTTTAGAGCGCAGCTCTTAGGGGCCCATTCCCGGCTTGAGCGGCGTCGACGTAACCAAGGTCACGCGACCCCCAAGGTCATCCCAAGGTCACGCGACCCCCAAGGTCACGTGACCTCCAGAGGTCACGTGGCCCCTCCCCCAGGGTCACGTGACCCCCAAGGTCACGTGACACCCAAAGTCACGTGACCCCCGAGGTCACGTGATCCCCCGAATTCACGTGACCCCCCGAAGTCACATGACACCCCCCCAAGGTCACGTGACCACCCCCAGAGTCACATGACCCCCACCGAGGTCACGTGACCTCCCCGATGACGTCATCGTCACTGATGACGTCACCGGCATCCGCATCGTCATCGTCATCATCACTGATGACGTCATCAGTGACGTCACTGATGACCTCACCGGCATCCACATCGTCATCATCACTGATGACGTCATCAGTGACGTCACTGATGACGTCACCTGCATCCGCATCGTCATCATCACTGATGACGTCATCGGAGTCCGCATCGTCATCGTCACTGATGATGTCATCAGTGACGTCACTGATGACATCATCGGCATCGTCAAGTGACCCTCAAGGTCACGTGACCCCCCAAGGTCACTTCACCCCCCCCCAGTACCCTTCCCTCCTCCTCCTCAAGAGCTGCGCTCTAATTCGGTGTTACAGGGAGTTGTAAACGGCTTTCACTTTTTTTTCCTTGTATTTTTGCTGTTGTGCTTATGTAGGGGTTCGAGGGCCTCGACAAGCTGTATTTCACAGCTTTTTCCCTTGAGCTCCACCATCAATGTAGATGCAAATAAACAAATTACTTAATCAGCCACTCTTCAACTACGCGCAGAGCGAACAGTGTGTGTGTTGTATCATGCACCATGTCATCATTGACAACTCTGAAGCTGTAGTTTCAGCGCTCCATCGAAGCGACACAGGTCATGAACTTCCAATGCTATGAACTTCCCATAAAAGCATTGTACTGCTCGCAGGAGAATAAAGCTCCAGTGTTACGCAAGATCAAAATGCAATACGATGATACGAGCCTTGAGATCAAACTTTTCTGAGCTTATAGCAAGCCACTGAGCATGTCTGATGAAATAATGCTGGAAGTACTTTTTTACACACTCTCTGAGCTCATTGCAAAATGTGTTACTTCCCATTTGCTTCTTTAGTAGTTGGCTAGATTCCCACAAAGCTACTTCAATTTATTTGTCGTCCTTCCTTGGCAACAATGCCAGGGTTAAACCATCTCCTTGTGGACACACCTTACAAGTCAGCAAAACACTGTTTTCAGTTCAATTAATACACGGGCAAAGTCTCTTAATGTCTTCAAGACTGAATTCTTGGTTGCCCATGTTTTTTAATATTGCTGTCAGGCGAAAGGTTAATTGCTCCCTCTCTCGGTTTTAGTCAAACTGAGATTAGATACCACATATGTAGACAGCATAGAACCTGCCAGCGAAGCAAAATGAAATGGATAGACCGCAGCCCTCGAGGACAGATGCACGAGTTTTAGTTTCCTGGTAATCACAGGTTGCCCATAGCGAATCCCGGAGAAAAGCTCACCGGAGAAAAGCTCACCAGAGAAAAGCTCACCGGAAATAAGCTCACTGGAGAAAAGCTCACCGCGAAACCGGCCAATACGGAAGAAAGCTCACCGGCCATTGAGCGTATGCGAAGAAAAGGTCACCGATTTTTTTTTTCTTCATTTTATATGGAGGCTGTTGGATCATGCGTAACATATATCAATTTATTATTATTAAAATTCATCAGCTTTGTAGAAAAGAAAGTGTCTTTTTTTGTAATATTTGTTAAGCTTATTGTGTATATTGCCTCCAATTTAATAATTGCGGGCGAGTGTTTTTTGAGGCTTAATCTGTAGGCAACGAAAGCCGAACTGAAAACTTTATAAACTTGAAGAACAGGAAAAAGTTCGAAAACATAATAATTCCTGCCTAAAACCTAAAAATCAAAATTCTAAATGCCGAAAATCCGAAAGTGCAAGCAAGGCAACGCGGTGCCTGAAATTCTCTTTGAAGCTTTTGTTCACCTTTGAAAACTAGATAAAACAGTCAGTAGGATGTCGAGACTTTTTCTTCTACAGACATGAACGTTTTGTAGCCGTTCATGCTGGTGTTTCCACACGTTGCCTTTGTGTTATTTTGCCCTTCTACGGCGAGCCACCCATGACTTTCAGAGCTTCACACTGGCACCGTTGTTTCTCGTGACCTATATAAGAATTGGTTTTCTGTAATATAGCGAATTAATATAGCGAAGTGGACGAGTTGGTAAACGTTGGTATACATGTTGAAAACTGCTCAAACGACGACGACGGAGTGAAGACAACAAACACGACAGGACGAAGCTGTTCACGTAACTTAAGTTTGTTAGTAAAATTAACAGAAAGAAAACAGCGTAGCCGACTCTCATTACGTCAGCAAACACCTACTTATCTATTAGGCACTACACAATATTTGGAGCTGAAACTGTTCACACATCGCTACTCATATTAGCTCGAAAAGTACAATTAAACCTCTTTATCTGACAGAGCTACCGACGGCGCACTTTCAGCTGTATATAAATTGTTGTATTTTTTACCGCTGTACAATGTTCTGATTTTATACTTGCGGCTTCAATAATAGGGAGTTTTCGTAGTCCGCGTCTCCCCTTCCGCTAAGCCCTCCGCAACGAAGCAAACGCTACTGCGCCGGCACGCCGATGGCCTTGACTGCAGAGTTCCGGCTAGCGTAACTGGTTGCGGAGGGCATTGCGGGACCTCGGAAACGATCTACGAAAACTCCCTACTATAAAGAATGGGTGGTTACGAATTTCTGAGGAATTAGTAATTATGCCCAATGAACTTCAAGAATATTACAAAAAGAGTATATATTTTTAATAAAGTGACGAATGCGAATTGTGTTAAATTGCCACGTTTGATACAGAATACTCCAAGCTAAAAAAAAAAAAAATCGGCGAGTTTTTTTCTGCATTTGATTAGAGGCCGGTGAGCTTTTCTCCACATATGCCAGTTTTGCGGTGAGCTTTTCTCCGGTGAGCTTTTCTCCAGTGAGCTTTTCTCTGCCGCCCGTCCATAGCTCCTTCCTTAGTATCACATGAATGGATCGTCATATAGTAGTCATTTCCAATGTTCATAGTTACCCCTACTGTACTAAATAAACACCGAAAGCTATTTAAAAAGGGGATGCGACACTCATAAAGTTAAAAAAGTGGCGGCATGTTTATGTCCAGCTCGGCCTGTGGATTCCACTTTTGTTCCCACTTCCCGTCGAAAAAAAATAGCCAATGCAGCTTACAAGAACCTTGAAGGTACATACATCTCGAAAAGAAAAAATAAATATAAAAAAGGCGAAATTAGGGAAGACGCACACATTGCAGAAAAGCAAAAGCAAGTGCCGAAGCGGCGTGATGCTATCAGAACTGATAGTTTCACCCCATATCATTCTATGATGTTTGAAACCTATGTTTGGTTTCACAAACACAGAAGTCTTAATAGTAAAAACAGATTAGGAGGTCTCAACAAATCTAGCATAGCTATTGTGTAAAGAAAATTGTTATGAAAAATAAAAAAATTCATGCACGCTGACTGACGTGCTTGGCGAGCATTCACTTTGAAATGTTTTTCCCTACAAGTGATTTTTATCTCACGGAGAACTTTTAAAACATCCTATTTATGATTGTTCATCTCATATGACAAAACATTATTTAAGACAGTTTCGATTTCTGTAGTTAACTAAGTAAGCAAACTGAACATGTGGAAGAACCCCTTACAATATTATACTATAAATGCTATCGAAGTTTTGCCGAACTATGTGTGGACTCGAGAACCAATAAAAACTATGATCACGCTACATACTTACTTCAACAGGTTTCAATATGCTTTTGGTGAAATTTCTGCATGCACCATTGTTTTTCTCGTGGCTTGTGTCCTGCAACCTGCAAAAAGAGTTGTGTATATGCAGCGTCATCCAGGAAGCTGAACATTTCACAATCAACTCCATGATTAGAAAGTACAAACACTCGCACTGAGAGGCTCGTAGCATCAAAAGCTTTTGTTATTATTATTATTATTATTATTATTATTATTATTATTATTATTATTATTATTATTATTATTATTATTTATTTATTTCTGAACGAAAACATACAGATACGTACGGGCCCGCAAAAGCACGAGGGTGCTTGTGGGCGGGTCCCGACAGCCAACAGAAGTCAAAATTATACAATATCAAAATGCAACTGCACATGCAACCGCACACATATTAAAACATAACAAAGTCTGCACTGAGACGCACGCACTGAACTAGTTAGTATGAGTAAGACACCAATATTTTAGGCATCTTTTAACAACACTGAATGACTGTAAACAAAATAGATCGTCAGGTAATTTATTAAAAAAGTATGGGACATAAAATGATCTTACTCTTTTTCCGTAATTCGTAAAAATCCTAGGCTGAACAAACCGCTCTGTTTTCCTTAGTGTTCTTTGCTTTTTTAATGGTGCCTTGAATGTGTCGTTATAATAATGTTTTAGACAAACTACATAGATGTACAGTCGTTCAATGGAAAGAATTAGAAGAGACCTCATTCTTAAATCAGGATCTACACCGCTCCACCTTGTTCTGTACGCAATATTTTTGGACACATTGTGTAGAATATTATCTAATTTTGTTTTCTTGTAATTTGAACATGCTCCATATATCGTTATACCATAACGGAGCACCGATTCACCTAACGCTTGGTACACCTTTATCCGTAAACTTACGTCAGATACCATACGCAGATGAAACAAGTATGCGGAAACCACGCGAAGACGCTTCGCAAGGTAGTCTATGTGAGTGCCCCAGTTTAAAAATTTGTCGAAAAAAAGACCTAAATACTTTACAGATGACACATATTCTAAAGGTGTGCATTCACAGTCTCTGCAGTCAGACTCATGTAGCATTAAAGGCATAGACAAATTTAATACTTTGTGAGGATTATGAAAATGCATTAGATTCGTTTTGTCCGCGTTAACTAAGATTTGGTTAGCTCTGAACCAAGCCATCAACCCATGTATATCGCGTTGAAAATACGATAACGCTGTGGCTTCGTCATTACTTGCAAAAACCAGAACAGTGTCATCCGCGCACTGATATACCGTCGAAGAAAATGGTAGGCTGCCAAGGTCATTTACATAAATATTAAAAAGAAGAGGACCGAGAATGGAACCTTGAGGGACGCCCGTACTAATTGGCAATAAATCGCTTTTAACGTCACAAATGCTTACCATTTGGTGACGGGCCGAGAGGTAGTCAGTTAAAAATTCAATAAAAGGGCCCCTAAAGCCAATGCGTAGTAATTTCTTTATCAGTATTTTGTGGTTAATTGAATCAAATGCCTTTGTTAGATCCAGAAAGAGAGCTAACACAAAGTTGTTGTTCTCTATATATATGTTCTTGTGGATATGGTCAGAGAGATCTTCCAATAACGTAATTGTTCCTCTATTTTTTCTAAACCCATACTGGGACGGTTATAACAGGGAGTATTTCTCACAGAATGAAGTCATTATGTTGAAAACGAACTTTTCCAGTATCAATGAAATCACGGGCAGGATAGAAATTGGTCTGTAGTTCGATATGACTTTACGGCTACGTCTTTCTTATAGATGGGCCACACGACCGCGATCTTCAGGCCGTTGGGGATCTGACCCGTAGAAAGGCACGAATTGATTATCTTCAGAAGTATGTGCTTTAGGTGCTCAAAATTTGCCGATATATCTCTTAGGCGAATCCTATCAGCTCCTGGTGATTTGCCTGGAGCCATATTCTTGATAATCTTCACTAAGTCATCCTCTGTCATCTGTGTTAAATAAGCCGAGTTTCCGCACCCACTAACGGGGCTGGATGCAAAGTCCGGAACACCCCTCATTTGGGAGTGAAGATCTGACACGCTACGCACAAAAGTAGTATTAAATTTGTTACTTAGTGAATTCAAATCAGTATCACTAAACGCTTTCTTACGGTAATTGTTTCATCTATGCTTTCTTTTTTCCTGTGGCCAGTTAGTTCCTGCACAGTTTGCCACGTTTTCTTCTGATTTTTTTGGTTTTGCTGCAAACGAGTGCTATAGTGCCTTTTCTTTGCTAGCCTTATTTCAGCAGTTATTTTATTCCGTAAGGTTCTAAACTCCGCTTTCAGTGCGCTGTTTGCTGGGTTAGCTTTCACTCGATTCCATAGTATATTCTTTTCATGGCACAATTCCATTATTTCTACAGTAATCCACGCATTGCTGCTTTTTCTTTGTTTTATTTTTATTTTTTTCTTACTGTTGTTATATATATATTCAAATTGAGCCACCATTGTTTGATATGCAGTGATATGATCCATGGCGAGTAAACTACTCCAGTCAAATTGCTTAATAAAATTATCTATTTTTCTTCTGTCTAGAATCACGCTGTATTGATCAACCATGTCATCTTGCGGTGCGCCACAAAATGCTATAAAGGATACAAAATAGTGGTCTGCAATTTTTTGCTTAATTACTCCAGAGGCAAATTTTGCTTTATTTAGTCTCACAACTACATGATCAATCGCCGTACGTGTAAACCGATTACCAAGAAACTCTTCTCTTGTGAAATTCGTGGTCAAGTTTTCTAATCCAAAACCTGATAACAGGTTCAGATAATTTGCAACTCCATTGTTTGCAACTTTCATTACATCGATGTTAAAATCGCCCGCGAACACTAGCTGGCTATCATTGCCAAACGTGTTTAGTAATCCTGCTAACTCGTCAAAAAATAAGGTAATATTCGAACTTGGCGGCCTGTAAAAAGCGCCAATGACGAATGAAATGTCCTGTCTTGAGATAGCAGTGACCAGCACTTCAGCTTGAGTGAGAGATGTGGTTACTGGTTCACAGAACCAAGAACTTTTAACAAACATAAGTATTCCGCCCCCTCTTCTATTTTCTCTGCACAGTGAAAACGATTGAAACCCATCCAGAGAGTACAAGGAGACGTTTGATATGGTAGTATTAATTTCTGTTAAAATTAAAATATCCAAACTGTCAACATGATCGGCCAGGGAAACTAATAAATGATTCTAGTGTTTTTGTATACTTCTGATATTGATGTGCAACATATTTAGGGTTACCTCGGTGCTAGGAGATGCCACGATGGCTTCCTTCCAGTGGGTTTCCCACTCTGAAAACGTTTCAAATGACACTGACATTTCAAGCGATTTTCAATAAATCTTCCTGACGGTTAATACGAATGACTGCCCTATTTTCGCTCTGACGAACGAAAATTTTCCCGTTTTTGACCCATACATACTTGTAATTTTTCTCTTTAGCACACTGCCTCACACTCCAAAGCAGTTCCTTGACGGACTTAGTCAAGTTCTCATTAATGAATATTTTTTCTTGCCGGAGTGCCACTCGCTTCGTCAGCCACTGGTCCCTGGCAGAACGCTCGTTGAAACGTACAATAATAGGTGGAATTTTTCCTTCTCGAGCACTTAACCTATGTACAGCCTCGACATCCTCCGTCGCAGGTACAGGCAGTTGCAGTTTATTGGCGAGACACTGAATCATTTCAAGTAGATTCTCATTTTCCTTCTTTTGGATGCCGTGGATTTCTACATTTTTTCGTCTTGAGTACTGTTCCATGTTATCTACGGTTGTTTTAAGTTCACGGATTTCCATTTCTTGCTTCGACATTGCGGATTCCATCTTACTCACTTTTTTGCTTAGTTCCAAAGTGGTGTCCTCTTGAGTTTTTACTTTTTTAAGAATTTCATCGTACTGTGACCCCAACATTTCCATTGATTCTTCAATTCCTTCTATTGTTTTTTCCTGCTGCGTGAGTTTTGCAATCACAGCATCGTGCTTGGCTGATTGCACCGCGATCGACTTCTCCATCAAATCAAGACGACCAAGTACTTCCGTCAGCTTTGAGCTCATGTCCAAAATTAGTTTTGCAATGTCCGGTTCATTCGGATTGCTCTGTTTTTGAGTAGGCTCTTGATCAGTTGAAGATTGCCGAGCGAAGTGCAATTTGCATGTAGAGCATTGCCAAGCAAGCATTTGCTCCTGAGAAAGCCCCTTCAGAGCAGTCTTATAAATCCCCGCACATTTCCCAATGTGATACCAGTGGTTACAGACGGAGCATTTCAGCCCCTGACCATCCAAACCTAGAGATTTTAGACACACAATACACTCTCGATTCTCCGCGTCGTTAGGCATGTTGAAAAAGTTGGGCAGTCCAGCAGAGTATAAAATCACAGAAGCGCTTAAACCAAAACAGCACTTTACCTGCAAGAGCAGAACAGACTGGTTAGCACTCTTCGTACGCTCTGCTGGACTGCAACCCGCCAACTGAGAGTGATGCGCTGATATAGGATCCTGCTGCGGAAGTGACGCCCCTTGAGTTCCGGTCTGGAGGACCAAGTGTCCGAAGCAAACGTGCAAGCTCACTGCTTGCAGGTGCGTAGACGCCCCCCTCGGTCACGTAGGCACGAGGAAGGCCGCAGTACTTGTCGTGCAGGAAATCCTTAAGCCGATACCAGCGGTATTGTGGCTGCGATGACGCGTTGAAAACCATCTCCTTATGCGGTGCACGAGTGCAATGCAGACTGAAGGAGCAGAAGCTGCAAGAGCAGAACAGACTGGTTAGCACTCTTCGTACGCTCTGCTGGACTGCAACCCGCCGACTGAGAGTGATGCGCTGATATAGGATCCTGCTGCGGAAGTGACGCCCCTTGAGTTCCGGTCTGGAGGACCAAGCGTCCGAAGCAAACTTGCAAGCTCACTGCTTGCAGGCGCGTAGACGGCCCCCTCGGTCACGTAGGCACGAGGAAGGCCGCAGTACTTGTCGGGCAGGAAATCCTTAAGCCGATACCAGCGGTATTGTGGCTGCGATGACGCGTTGAAAACCGTCTCCTTATGCGGTGCACGAG